TAGGCTGAATTCTTCATACTCAAGCGATGTTCTAATCCTCTGTGACTGGCAGTGGGCATAAGTTGATACCTCCAAGCTTTTTCAGTACAAAATAAATAAAAATTACTCGCATTTCGCAGTGCTTAATTCTACCTAAAGAAAAGAGTTGTTTTGTTCTATAAACCCAATGATAGGTGAAATTCCACCCGCATTTCATACTTAGCAAATGGATATACTTTCTTGAAATGACTTTCAAAATTACTATGCAATGCATTTGAAAACGTATATTTTTCTCATAGCACGTGTGCGGTAGGTCGTTCGCGTTATTTAAAAACAACGGATTAGGACTCGCCACTTCGCTAAGTCGACCCTCTTTCAAGGATCAAACGCCAATCGCCTGTCATGAATCCGGCATGGTTACCTGTTCGATTTCAATCGCTCGGGCGCCGCTTGCCTTATCACTTAATAAAATTGGATTTGAAACTGTATCTAACACATGTAAATCCGGTATCCTATATCGTAATTGGTCAGTTGTGCCGATGAAATGGCTCAACCTAAATTATTAGCAAGTTCACTTAATACTACTACCTTTTTAACACATAGCTGAGTTCAAAATGCAATCTTTTTTCAATTGGAGACCTCTGAGCGTCCCACATAAATATCTCTAAGAATCTTTTTTGCGTTTCCAGTACTTACCGCCAGTCCGCTATCTACATCACGAAACCTGTTGCTGGCCTGCTAAGTACAGAGTGCATAACAGAAGTAGATGGGAATAAATAGTAAATGTTTAAATTAGAGTTTTTACATATCGCTGCCCTTTTTACGTTTAACAATATTCTCGATATTGTCATTTCCATCATGAATTGTGAAATATTTAAACGGAAATTTATATTTTTAAAACTCCTTTCGGCGCCAAAAAGAACACAATGCGTATCATCAAAATATATTGGCCGATCCACCTGCCTCTTTAAGAAAACCAGTCGATAGAATAATGTATAATTATACACCACGAATGGAAAAAAATTCGTGACTTTTCATGTGCTTGTCGAATTATAAATGAATCCTATTTTCAGGCATTTAGAATATAATTTTATTGATGAAAATTGCCCTTAGTTTATTGATTTTTCAACAAAGAAGATAAAACAAAATGGCCGACTATGATTATAGTTAACTCGGTACGAACCCAAGGGTTCATAAGCTAAATGTACTATAAAAATATTGATTGATTCTTAGCTGTATTCAAACGTAAATATAGACCTAATTTTGTAACTCTTTTAGGCAATGATTTTTCCTAACCAATGCCATAGCTTTGTAAGATACATCAAGTACAGCAAGTGAAATAACTCTTTGTTCAGGCAGACAGGTGCCGTTGTTAGAAAAACATGTATTAATGCAATAACATCCCCATATAAAGTTCAATATAACTAAATTTTCGAAACAATTTCAACCGCCAACACGTAACTATACGAACCACTATAAAACGGAATTATGAGAGTGCAGAGCATTACAAATAAATTTGTCCTTTAATGAAAATCGTACAGAATATTATTAAGTATGCGTTACAGGTTTGTTTTCGTTATTACTGCAATGTATTTTTTCTAACAACCTAAAAATGATGTTTTTTAATTTTTCTTCTATTTTGTAATTACCAAAATAATGATGGTCTATATCAGGGGTGAGCAACTTCTCTAGTCGGCGGGCCAGATGTGGGAAAATGAAGTTCTCGGCTAGCCGGATTATAACATGAATAGTATTCAATATCTTAATCACATATTTATTCGCTAATGCAAGAAAGAAAATTATAAATCGCGTTTAAAGTAAAGTTTAAACTACAAAAAAATAGAGACCAAAAAACACATAATGAATTTATCATAATGTACCAAAAGTGTAATAATGTAATATCATAATGTACTTGATGTACAGTCAGTGGGCCGGTCAAAATCTCGTCGCGGGCCGTACGCGGCCCGCGGGCCGTATGTGCCCACCCCTGGTCTATATCTATGCGTACCAATGACCAAATATTTTTTTTAAGCTGTTTTAACATATTATATTATATACATATTATATTACAGAGATGTCAAACATTGACCACGTTTTTGGTGACCCGCCAATTCGCGAATTAATGCAAAAAAAAAATCAGTAATAAAAATTGATAATAAAATCAGCCTTAATTCAGTATAACAATATGGGAACTACATCATGTCCGCCCCGGGATGCACGTTATATGGGTGGGTTCGTTGCTTAGTTTGATGATTTAAATAATACCAATACAAACACTTCTCACTTACTTGACCTTTATTTTTCTTATTCTCATGTATAACAACATCTATAATTCGTTTATCTTCCGAATTATTTTTGACGTTAGGTATAATGGGCAATGGGCGTCATTGTCAGAAACTCTCCCTGGGCATCAGAAACTCGCCCCGAATAGCAGAAAAGTTTGACAAGCCCCTGACCAAGAGGGCCTCACAAAAGATTAAACAGCAAGTTTCTCAGTGATGCAGTGATGCATTATTTAAAAATATCCATGACTCACTTTTTTCCAGAATAAAAAATATAACTTTCGTACCATTCAATGAAAAGGGTCATCCCTGCTTATATTGAAATCACATTGTTTTCTTTGCATCCATTCATATTTATCGGCGTCTAGGCACCTTAATCTAACGACATCAAAGCATCCGAATACCAAATATACTTCTACTTTTACCGGGAAAACATGTTATTAATCATAAAGTAACTGATTAAAATTTTTACTCGAAAATCATATAAGTGATGTGGCAACTACTTGATAAAAATGAAAAAAATAGAAAACTCAGTCGAAGCAGCCATTTTGTATTAATATTCACAGAACGAATTGTCATACGTTTAAATACGATATAGCACATACGTTGTAGAAATCTGAACAATTCAACTATTTCTAACATAAATATATATTAAAAAATTATCATTAGTATACGTCACATCCACCCTCTCTACACAAAACCAGATACGTGCGCATGCGCATATGACTATCATAACCCCATGTTCTCCTGACCTAGAGTAACTTCTTTCGCGTCGGTTACTTCTCACGACAATCAAACATTTGATTGCTTCTTGATTGTTACAACATAAAATACAAAATGGAAGGAGCGGGTCACTATGGGTCAGTCTCGTGACGATTATGTAATCGATAGATGAGCGCGTCAAAATCTTACTTAAAAGCCGACCTTAACAAAAATGCACTATTTCCATAGTACCAGATCAACGCAGTATTAATCACCTTGGATGGTACAAAATTTCACATGTATTATGAGAAGAAAAAAAATCGACTTTCATTGCAGCAGATCCATGTTAACTATAAGGTTATTAGCTAGCTAATAATAATAATGGAGAAAGAAACCGTGGTCGACCAGCTAAGAGGACCCCCCAACTGAATTCTAATATATAACTATATTTTTCGAAGGGTCATCATTAGCGACGCGATGCGTGATTGATTTTCAAATCAAGAAGCCAAACTGAGGATCAGCCTATAGACGCAGGGGTGGGCAAGGTTTTTGAACCAAGGGCCAAAAAAATTGCCCACCTGGACTGGCGGGCCATGTAGGCGTGACTTGAAGAGTTACATTTTATGAAAAATATTTACAATGTTACAAAAGCAAAAGCGGAAAACAATAAACTTTGTGCCAAATCTAAATTTAATCGCAATCTCAACAAATTCATTGAGCTATTTTTCAGCTAGAACGTCAAAATTTGGATTTTGTTTGGTTGTGGCGGGTCAGATTGAATTAACCAACGGGTAGGATTTGGCCCGCGGGCCGTAGTTTGTTCATGTTACCTATAGAGCATTGGCCTTAATATGACCCAAAATCAACAGATTTGGCGTAATTATCGTAAAATAAAATTTCAAGCTAATTAGTATTTATTATAGAATGGAATTAACTAATTATAATAAAAGGGAAACGATTAAAGTTGGAAAAACTGGACACTCGGACACTGGATTGCTTCGTGCGAGATCTACCCTTTTTTTGAACCTTACCGACTATTGGAAAAGTTTGAAATTACACTCGGTCAGTGGCATGCTTTTACATATACCGTAAATTTACTTTCATTTGTGCTTTAGTTTTACCGCCTGGCGGTAACACGAGTGTGTGATTTCGTGACGTCATCTCATTAAGCAGGAGAAAAGTCGGGTTCGCGTCCTTTAATGACCAAACATTTATTCTGCAAATTGATTCCTCGTTTCAAAGTGGCAGTGCCTAATAAGCAATTTTATTTTCGTCCACGGACAAGTTGCTTCACACCCCAACCGGACGCGGATATGATTTCCGTAACGGCTCATTTGTCCTTTTCTCGAGCTGGTAAAAACACACTCGATTGAAGGCCTGTCCCCGAATTGACCTAAGAGTCGTGTTGTTTGCCTTTTATGCCACGCGGTATTTGGGATACACGAAAGATAACCCCTTGCCAAATTCCATCACTCAAATGGTGAGAAGCAGCGCAATTGCTGACATGAATTGCCCTTGTGTTTATTACTTGCCTATGAGAGCATATTGACATAAGCAGGAAGTGACAATACCATTTTGTCGAGTTATTAAGAAAATTTGATAACTCGATTTTTGAAATCGCAGCAATTGTTTATCTACAATCTTGCATAATATTGTTTGAATTTCGGGAAAAATAAGTTGAACGTTTTGCTGTGAGCCAAATTATTGCAATATGTTGGTAAAATAAAAAAGAATTTAGTTCTATTTATTCAACTTGGCTGTAGCAATTATCAATGGATTAACCAGGATTTTTTGAATTACCATCGTTTGTATTGTATCTATATCTCATCGACAATATCAGTCAATATATACACTGTAAATGCCATTTTAGGAAGCAATTTTACTGATATGTAACAATTTTCCGATTTCCAAAAAAGATTATCGAGATCTAAAATTAATTTTAATTTTGAAAATTTTAAAAAAGACGATAACATCACATGTAGATTCCGATTTTTCTTTAACCTGATCTGTCACCGCTCAACGATAAATAAAATTACAAAATTTTGCAGTTTCCATTTATTCAAATAAAAATGAAATGATAATAAAAGTTTAAAACAAGTTCAATAAAGCAGTTGAAATCAAAATTTATTCATCACGCATTTTGGAAAACCTAGACAATTTCATCATGAAAGTTGCAGACAAAAAATAAATTATTTCGAAAAATAACATCATGCATTATCTCTACATAATGCCGAGTAACGTTATATTTGCCATTAGTATCTTTAGTTACCAGTACAGTATTGTTTCTGTACTCCAAATGGCATGGAAGGCTGTATAAATTTATCATAAATAAAAAACGTCGACATCAATAATCAATTTTTGTAGAGCTTTATAAAACGTTCCAGGAATTCGACACACAAACTAATAAGCTGCCAGATTTTCATTGACATCTCGCATTCTGACTTTTTGACTGTGAAGTTCGTCTGAAATAAGAAAAACAAAGAACGGTGTCATGTAAGCGTTAATGGATTCAATTTGATCTTATTGGACCTTACTGGCCAGTTGATCATAATTATTCGGGGGATTTTGCTTTTTACTGTCTGTAGTATTTATAATATTTTAAGTTCTATTAATATTACTAATATTTATTCAGGACACATAATAAACTACTCAAACTGTACAAAATCTGGAGTGCGTTGCGTATAACACTAGCTAAAGGATTGAAATATTAAACAAATAAAATAGTTTTATGCATAAGAAGGGAAGAATAAAGAGTTTTAAAATGGGCAGAGGAAGGAATTTAACCAAAAATATTGGGAACCAATGAGCTATACTATTAATATCAATCAAGGATTTGACTCAACAAGTAGAGAGTACTAATAGAAAAGATATTTTTAAAAATCGCATTGTTGAACCGTCCGTCAAGAATTTGGTTGAAGAGAACTTCTGGTCAATTAACTATTTGCATATATCTATATAAAGTAGACAAAGCCCATTTAATAAAAATTGTCTTGTATAAAAAAGGGAATAAAAATCGAATAAATTTACCTTCCAATTCATCAATTGTTCTTTCAAGTTCTGATACCGATTTTTCTGCGGTTTCAGCTCGGTCTTCGGACTAGAATATAATAATAAAAATAAATAAATCAAAACTTTTGGAAAGAATCATACTTTTTTTGTCAAAGCGGACAAATCATGTTTGTTGATAACATTACAATAAAAGTTAGCCAAATACAATTTTAACAATAAATGGAATAGATTTTTAACTTAGAATATAACTGTGAATAATGGTTCTAGTATAAAAATAAATAATGTTGAAAATAAAAAAATAAAAATCAATATAAAAAGGTTTTAGTATGAGCATTCAGAAGTTCAAAACTGAAAAACGGATCCTTTTTCATGTGGTTCACGATATATTTCTATTATTTTGATGAGGGGATTTATTCGTCTTCAAATTATTCGGCTGCGTATCGTATTAAAAAGAAATTTAGAAACAGTTATAAAATATAATATATTAGCAATAATGATTCACTTACATCTTTTAGTCTGTCATTCAGTGTTTTAATTTCATCCTCATATTGTACTTGTTTTGAAGAAAACTGTAAATGAAAAATACAATTTTATTATCATATTACACAAATCACAGTATAAACCTATAATGTATTCTAAAACCAACCTTCTCAGCAGCGGCTTCAAGTGATTTCAAGTTGTTAGCAGCATTCTTTAGTTCTTCTTCAAGCTCTGTAGCTTTGCTGTGAAGGAATTTAAAGTAATAAAGTAAATATCACATATAAGAACAAATATTAGAAATTTACGAAAGCCGCGATAAATTCATACAAGTTTGAGCTGTAATTACTCACGCCGGGCCAACATTTTGACTAAAATCCGTGAATAAGTAGAATGTTCATTGTAATATAGGAGTGAACTTATTGAATGTCGATTAATGAAATTGGGTGATTTTCCTAAATTTTTTTGTCAATAAAATTCGATTTTCAAACGTGAAAAATGTATACAATAGGATTGCGGCTTCGAAAACTAGAATAACTCTCACCTTTCAGCAAGCTCGAATCTCTCTTCTGCCCTCTCGAGATCAGTTTCAGTCGCGGCTAATTTTCTCGCGACTTCTTCATATTTACGGTCAGCATCTTCTGCGATTTCTTTGGCTTCCTTTAAATTAACTTCTTGTTGAGTTAATCTTTCTTCGTCTTTGATGGTTCGATTTTCAATAACCTTACGTCCTCTGGGAAAAATAAACAGCGTGCATATATTCTAATTACTTTTTACTTCCATCGTGTGCTCTAATCCATGATAATTCAGTGTCAAATATTGTTTTTATTTTAGTTGGTAGATAGTGGATGGGCGACTTTAGCAGCTGTCGCTACAATTTGTTTAATTAATACTCACCGTTCGCTTTCATCGGCAGCTTTCTCAGCATCTTCTTGTTTTTGTTGAGATATCGCTAATTTTTCCTGGCCACTTTCCAGTTGATCTTCAAAGTTTGCAATCTTCTTGTTCAAAGCATTGACCTCTTGCTCAGCCTGGTAATACAGCATTATTTATTGACGATATAACGATTTACATTAACACCTAAGACACGAAATTACACGACTATAAATTAGTAACGTTTTGTCATTTAGTTTTAAACTGAACAAAAGTGGAACGATTTGTTATCCTGATGATGCTGATCGATATTACATAAATGTCGCTTATCACTCACATCGCTGGCTTTCTTTTCAGCTGAATCGAGACACTCTTGGCTTTGTTTAAGTTTTTCTTTTGCACCCTCCAAGTCGTCTTCGGTTGCTTTGAATCGTTTCTCCAGAGTTAAAAGCTCTTCCGCAAGCTGTGGTACAAAATGTTCATTAGTTCAGTTCGTTAAATATGAATAGAAATAGCACCTCACTATTATTGATTGCGAATGTGCGAGCGCACGATCATCTACTTGTTCGTTGCTATCACCTTTCCATTTACTGAGCTATTTTGTCGTTTCCAACAATACATAACTAAGTAAATGCCACGTGGAATGGAGTGGGAAGAGTAGCTTTATATATACAAACTATTTGCTATACCTTTCCGACTTTGTCTTCCATTGATTTTTTGTCAACTTCAGATTGTTCAGATCTATCCATTGCGTTTTCTTTGTCGAGTTTCAACATCATCATCTTCTTCTTGATAGCTTCCATTTTGACTGATTTTTTTTTATTTCGTTGCTCGATGTAATTCTTGCTTTGCTACCTGAGAGCTAATCTTTTCGATATGATAGCATGAACATTGTGAGTCGCTTTTATACGAGAATTTCAACTAGGCGACAGGAGAAAAAGTGTGTATTTTTAGCACAAAGGCCAAAAGTTCACCGCAATTAGCATGACAACGTCCAATCAGCTCAGAGACAATTTTTCGCACCTCCAAGTTCACGACTCACGGCGTCAAATCTCTTCCAATTTCACAGCGAGAAACAAACTGTTCCGGCGTGTACTGTGAATTCTTATTTGTGGCTAACATGGATAGAAGAAATGATAATTTTGAAATGTTTCAAGATATAACTATCTCCCTATAACTTGGCAATACCGGTGTACTTCAGGTATGCTGCATATTTGTGTTCAGCATGTTTCAACCTCCTATTCACCTGCAACTATCGTTTGGCAAAACTCGCAACTAAAATACTAGTTACCAAATTCGCAAATAATGCAACAATAAATATGCACGATGTCTGCTTTATCGTGATGCAGTGTATCATAAACTTCATTGGTTATTTTTAAAAGTAAACACATGACAACTAATGGAACTGGGGAATAAAGTCTTCAACGAATTGGTCAGTGAAAACATACTAATGTTATGATCGACTGTGTTGATGCCTTTAACATACATTTACAAAATTCTTTACTGATATGCAGCTGAATGTTGAATTTAGGGTTAACTAAACGATAAATTTAATCTGAAGAATCAAAAATATTGGGCATTCATTTTATTGTATTTCCTTAACCCCACATTCATTTCGTTCACGGTGCTACACCGTTTTTTTACTTTAAAACAAGCTATTGTTTCTAATGTGATCTGATATTATTGCCATTTATATGACTTCACATGGCTTTTTAAAACAGTTTTAAATTTTTACAGATAGTACCTGTGTTCATTCGAAATGGTTCACCACTTTTATTAGCTCAGCCATGTTATTTTCGATAACAACACAACTCTGAAGCAAACTAAATTGTGCTCCTTATGTTTATTACAAAATATGCGTTGCAGCAAAACGTAGATAGATAGGCTACCTGTCCTACATGGTTTGGTAACGTACAATATGAACACAATATGTCTACAACAGCATGTGTTCGAACATTATTATAAGGTTGACTTTTATTTCTTGTAGTGATATGTGAATATACTACATATGAAGGTTGACACGATCATTATTGCTTTGTCCGAACTGAACTGATAGTCTACCGATGGACTAGGATAATTTGGAGTCATTTTATTGGCATTCAACTTTGTAATAAGAATGAAATCCTAACCTATCTTTATATTGACTTGTATGGAACGGCAATCAGTTAGATTTAGGTTAGGAAAAATGAGTCATGGTGACAATTGACGAAATATGCATTCACTTCGGAACCATATTTTTCGATATATATATATATATATATCTGCTTTTTCAACATTTGTTTTTATCTTGACTTGATCTATATTATATATATCTCAGAAATAGTCTGAGAATGGCTCCATTCAGACCTTATAGGAATAATTTCGGTTGATAAATAAAAGCTTGTAGGTAGCAGAGATAGAGAAATGGCAGCAGTTGAGGTTAGGGATGGGACGAGTCCGGCATTACAGAGATTAGACGAATCCGAGTAATAGGTCAAGGACTCGAATCTACCGAGTCCGTGACGTCATAATGGAAAAGCAGAAAAATACGTTTATGACCATGCTACAGCAAGGTGCGCTCACAAACATACGCTGTAGCTCCTATTTTTTGACTAACCGTTCCACAGGTAGCTGTTGAATCACTTCAAAAATATATTTTTCCTCTTTTTTGGCGGTCATAATCCAAAGTAAACGTGGGTCAATGTGCACCTTGGTTAACTGCATTTCTAGCCCACCACCTACCGTTAATTCTAGGCGGCTATTTCAAAATTCTTACATGTCAATATGAAAAATGAAAAGCTTTTGAGTACAATGCTTCTACATAATTCCATATACTTCTTACTATGTCGCGTGCGCAAATGGTAGATGCCACTCGTCAATTATGCTTGCAATTTAGTAGTGCATGTAAAAATTCTCCATGTATTCCATTGCTCCCTTTGTAGGGAAAAGATTGCACGTAATAAACTCGATTTTAAAAAGGTATATATTAATAAATTGTTGATCCAGAGCATGTTTTATTTTTACGCGAATCGAAGACTCAAAAATAACACATATTTTATTGTTCAAGTGTATCCTAAAAAGAATATATAGTTTTTGAAGGCGACTGGCGGCGACATCATTGTTATAAGCGATCAATATTTTTTAACATGCGTTTTAATCATTTAGAGCAGGTGTGGGCAAGGTTTTTGGACCAGGGGCCAACAATTTTGCACATCTAAGATTGCGGGACGTGTAAATGTGACGTAAAAATTTACATTTTATAAACAATATTTACAGTGTTACAAGAGCAAAAGTGGAAAACAATAAGCCTCGTGCCAATTTAATCACGATCTCAATAAACTGCTTGAGGTTAAAACATCTAAATTTGATTCCAGTTTGATTGTGGAGCATCAGGCGGGTCATATTGAAATTACCCAACGGGCCGGATTTGGCCCGCGCGTCGTAGTTTGCCCACCCCTGAGTTAGGGTAGGTACTGAGATTTATAGGAGTTAGGGTAGGTACTGAGATTTATAGAGGCAAAAGTACAAACATAGGCGTAAATTAGTAAAAACAGAATTGATTATAGACTCGGTAAAAATGACGTGGACTCGAAATCGAATCCAAGTCCTAAAAATGCGTGGATTCGACCCGAATCCGAGTCCGGAACCGAATCTCGGCCCATCCCTTGTTGAGGTAGCTAATTAATTAATTTTCAAAAAAATTGCCTAAAAAGTCTAAAATTTTACCTACAGAAGAGATAGTTATGCTAATCACACAGGTATATTGGATAATAAGGTGTGTTTAAATCAATTTAGGAAGCTCAAGGACGTGATAAACGACATCGCATCAGAAACCTGTTTCTAAATGAAAGGATCTACGATAAAAAGGGTCCTTGAAACTGGAAGGTTAATATAATTGTTAGATTGTTGTTGTATTAATTAATGTAATTATCTTTTTTTTTAGTTTTTTATGGTGAAAACGGTATAGTTGTCAAAAATAGACAAATTCATTTATTCGACTGTACCAAATTTCCCTTGAATATAAAATGAAACAAATTTCACTTTTTAAATTTTTAAACGGTAAATCCTGGTGCACGCCTTGACAATTAATTAAACATGAACGATAGTTTAAAAATGAATGTCGAGGCCCCTATAAATTTGAGGCGTCAGCCTTGTTTGACTATTGGTAAATCCGGACTTGGGCAGAATATGTCACGGACACCACTGACGCTCATGTAATATTGGCTACAATATCACAATATCACAAACCGAGACCTGCCTTGCTTATTGATAAATCCGGTGATGTGCAAATGAATGAGGGTCATCACATCCGACACAAACATAGAACAAAATACAAGTATAATATGCAGTTGTCATTTCTTTATTTCAAATATTCTCGACGATATAAAAAATCAAAAGTTTATCGGTCATATGACAATATAATAGAGAAAAAAAAAATTCGAAGACAGAGCCGAAATGGATCGAGCTCGTGCCTGATGAAGGCCAATGATGGTCATGTGTGATCGAATATGGTTATCCTTGCTTAGTCCTAGTAGGCTGAAATGTCTTCGTTGAAGTTTCTCATTCTCATTTTTTGGTTGTACAATTCATCTGTAAATAAATATATGGAAATTGAAGCAAATAATTCAATATTAAAAGTAAGTTCTATTTAGATGGTCGGTATCATAAACGAACGATTGAGGATGGGCGGGTATGCACGCGTGTGCGGATGAAACAATCAAATCTGTGTCGTGATAACGGTTTTCTCGCAATTTACTCATTTGCACCGACAGTCTTGACAATGATATCACGCATAGCTGATACCAAATAAGCACCTCTGTCAAACGGCAGCTGTGGTCAGCAATGACATCTGTTCAGCAATTCGCACTTGAAAATTTTTCATCATCAAGAGAGTGCTAAACGCTTTTCGTACTCAATATTATTTTGACAATATTATGACGTAAAACAAAGACATGATGTAGAGGCACCCGAAATTTATTACTCGCGATTGACCATGTTCTTTAGATTCTGATAAGGAGCTCATATATCTGCCTTTTCTCAAATTTAAACTAAGGTACACGCGTTCACCCACCTTCTAATTCGTCGATGGTTCTTTCTAAGTCGACAACTGATTTTTCAGCAGATTCGGCACGATCTTCGGCCTGAAATAAATAAAATGCAAATTTATGAAGTAAAATGCACCAAGATAGAAAAAAAAGGGTAAAAATAAACAGATTAATACATTTATTTTTTTCATTGTTTCCAGATTGATTATGTGATACTATTATTGCCCACTTCCATCATTGCAATTAACAATATAGAGATTAAAATTAATAGTCTCAATATATTTCAATGATTTGTTAAAAAAAATCGATATTGACTAATTATTTGCTTAATATTCTGTAATGAAATTGACTAATTTACTTACATCCTTCAATCTATCAGAAAGAGTTTTGACTTCGTCTTGGAAAATAGCTTCTTTGGTTGCATACTAAAACATAGCAAACACATGATATTAAAACTTAGGGTGCAATTGGAATAAGTTAATTGGAGATTTAGGAAATCTGATTCAGAATGACGCCGGATTCCGGATTTAGTGAATTTATAAGAATAGCTATGCCATGAATGTCAGTCGTTCTCGTCTATAAATACCTATGTATGTAAATGATGATATTATGAAAAGCAAATTTTATTTTCTATTTTTCACATTTTGGTGTTCATTTTACCTTTTCAGAAGCTGCTTCCAATGATTTCAAATTATTGGCAGCATTTTTCAATTCTTCTTCAAGTTCGGTAGATTTGCTGGTAAAGGTAAAATAACATGTAAAGTTCGATGCAATATATTGTCTTGGAGAATTTTCAATAACAATAAAACGGACCATATTTCGTCGTCCAGAATGCCAAACTTGTATTTATATAATAATTCACATGAAGTTGTTTATTACTGTTTTGTATTCAACCTACCTTTCAGCCATCTCAGCTCGTTCTTCTGCTCTTTCCAAATCGCCTTCCACCATTACTAATTTACGTGCAACTTCTTCGTATTTTCTGTCGGCATCTTCAGCAATTTCTTTTGCGTCACGAAGATTTGATTCTTGATTTTGTAATCTTTCAGAATCTTTGAGTGTTCTATTTTCGATGACCTTGCGTCCACTATAATAAATAGACATATAAAACCGAATTATTCAAGGAAATGTCTGCAGTTTTACACGTCATACGAATCTGAAATTCGTTTACAATCTTATCGTGGAATCTAATAATGGGTAGTCAATAATAGAATTCCGACATAAGTTCATTTTACATTTTGTCAGAACTGATTATAGGGCGCATACAAGGAATATCATAAAAATAGGGAATGTTTAAATGCATGATGATGTGCAAAAACACCTATCACCTAAATTGATATGATATGCATAATATGTTTTCAAGTTTATTAATTAAATTTTCTAATTAAATTATAATTTTTTCAGTTTCCTATCAATAGCACTGAAAATTTAAGCAATAATATGTATTTTACTACTGATATATAACCCAACAAAACCTACCGTTCGCTTTCGTCAGCTGCTTTTTCAGCCTCATCTAACTTTTGCTGAGACATTGCAAGTTTTTCTTGTGCGGATTCTAGTTCTTCCTCAAATCCTGCAATTTTCTTGTTTAGGTCCGACACTTCTTGTTCAGCCTGAAAAAAGGGAATAATATCTCCTATTTTTAAATGACATAATGAAGAGCAGAGTGCGGACTAGAATTCTAGCTTGTTTACTAACTTATAATTATAAGAAGAATTAATGTTTTTTTTAATAAAAAAGTAGTGATATTTATATGGTTGTTAACCAGTTTTAATATGTTGTTGACCACAGTACTTACGTCAGATGCCTTCTTTTCAGCAGCCTCTAAGGTTTCTTTTGATGCTTGAAGTTTTTCTTGGTGGTTTCCAAGTTCGTCTTCTGTTCCTTTTTGTCTTTTCTGAAGACCGTGAAATTCTTCACCAAGCTGTATACAAATATTGCTAATAGTTCAAGAGATTTCAAAATAAAGTTTAGCGAGATGTAATGGAATTACGCCATGCTTATGATATACACTTATCGAGTTTTTCAGCCTTGTCTCGGGACATATAAAATCGTTAGTAGAATGCAGCGCATGAATTTACTTCAATATAAAAGTTGATTAAGTTATATGGGTTTTCGTTATTTTGACATATATATATATAGTAATTTGAACCGAATGTACTTAGCCTTCTACTTACGGAGGATACTTTGGTTTCTGCGCTCTTTCTATCAACGTCGGCCTGTTCAGCTCTATCAATTGCATTTTCCTTGTCCATTTTCAACATCATCATCTTTTTCTTGATGGCTTCCATGTCTATTTGTTACTTCGTGCTTAGCGAGCTTTAGAAAGAGGAGAACTTGACGATTGAAGTCGACAATGCTGAATGAATATTGAGTGATGGATGTCCAGATTTTTATACTGCAAGAGACGACTGAATAAACGAAGTGTCATAACGGCCGTATATCGTTTCATGCTGAGATAGTAATAACAACCGTTTGATGTTGATTTGACACTTTTTGAAGGTGATAGTGTGAAAATAGTTGTAATCCAGCTGCTGATCCGATGTAATTTATCGTATTCAACGATATGAAAGATAGCGGATTAACAGGTCGCGATATTTGCGTGGCATTGTGCTTCATTCCAAAGGCTCAACTGACGCGCTATGTAGGCCTACGAAATTTTCTGAACCTATCACTCTACCATTAGATAGATTTATTCGAAGACTCCATAGTACACAGAAAATATAAAAGAAGAATTCTGGAGAGCGAGCAAAACCTCTAAAAAATTTTAAAACATGAAAAATATCATGTGCCCGCCCACCAGTACAAAATTTCAAAAAACACAAACCTTGTTAAACAAGGCTTCGGCCAGAAATAAACAAACAAAAGATACGCGAATGTATTACACCGTCGGGCTGTTTTATTTTTGAAGCACTCAATTCAATTAAGTTCGTATGTCCTCCTACTAATCAGGATTCATCACATCACAACATACATACATTCACCCAGAAAATGGAAAACGCTGATAAATGAGGCAAAGGCGATTCGAGAGACAAAATGACTAGGAAATAACAAACACATGGAGCACGTTCTGTGTTCAGAAAAAAAAACGAAAATTTTATCATTTTTGAACGACAGTATATATACATGCGAATAGCTTGACATAGCTAAACTTTAAGACTCAACTTCGAACCTTTAGGTTCAGTTGTGCTTTCCATAGTCATATCCAACCAAACTGCACAAATACATATCAGGTATGGCGTACCTTTTTGAATGAATGGTTCTAAAATTGCATTTTTATTGTGGAGAAAAAGACTTAGCGTCATAGATATTTTCATCATCATACTCACAGTAGCATCTTTCTATAATCCTTTGTCGGTATTTTGCAACTTTAAGCTTACACTTGTATCAGGACTGGCACTGTATGTTATGAAATTCATGTGAGAAAGCACGACTTCGTTTGCATACGAATTACCTATACACGTTTATAATACTACAATAAGTTTTCGGGTTTCCAAAAAAGTTTGGACGGGAATTCCACTCTGAGAAAAATATAACTTCGAATCGGCTTCCAACCGCATCAATTGACCGATGTGGCTAGTAGTTCACTTGTATTTAGATTGAATTAAAGCTGGTTGTATTGACAATTTTTACCCCTAAAATGGGAATATGTATTTGTATTTAATTCATGATTTTAGAAATCACAGAAAAAACATGGCCGGTCACTTTGTGACCCGCGGCCCAACGGTTCGCCGTCCATAATCGTTTGTACAATTAAAAGCAAGCGCGTACTCCGCCTCACATCCTATTTTAATCTTCTTTCTGAATTCAAGCCAAGCAGTCGTGTCAATTCATTCCCTTCCTTCGATACCCAAATGTATGAGCCCACTAACAGTATAAGAAATGTTATAAACTGGTGTTTGTATTTTTCGGAGGAACTAGCACAACTATCGTTAACAACAGATTAAAGATTCAAAAAGTTCAAGTTATATATTCTACAACAATTGTCAACGAGAATATTTTACATTCAACGAACCGAACAGCACGAGGTACAAAAACCTGAAACATTTTGTTGTAACTTTTCGTAACAATATCAAACATATTTGAAACTCATCCTACGTAAATCATCGGGCAAACCGATATGAAGATGCCGCCGTTTGGATCCTTGGTTTCTTCGAAACTTGTCGAGATGACGCACCGACTGGTGCCTTTGGGAGTAATGCTGATTTCAAACTCTCACACAGTCCACTGTTATGTTCCAGAGGATTATAAGATTCACTTTTGCCAACAGAATCCAACGCACGACTTATTTTTTCTGCGGAGGAGTCAGGTCCGTCACATTCCTCTACACACGGATCAATTTGAGCAGGCAAGAGCAGCTCTTTCGGACAAATATTTTTAAGAAGTAGGGATGATGTATTTGAGGGAATGATAACAAACATACCTTTCGGTTGATCAAGATAATTCAGGTTATAATTTCTGTGACGACCTTGTTGTTTCGTTAGGTTTTCGCATATCAAGCATTCCTGACTTCTTTCAAGTCGCTTACAAAGAGACATGAACTGGTTTTGATTTGTTTCTAATTCGTCCCAATCCATCTGCCAGCATGCTGACGTCACCAAAACTACGGGTCGTCCAAATATTATAGATTCGCAGATCGCTTCACTGGGAACCACTGTTTTTGCTCGTATATTTATAATTGGCGTAGATACTTGGGTACGAGATCCCTGCGCAACTGTACCCATATACAGATCGCTCCCTACACAAAACGATGACCTGAACGGCAGTTCATCAGGGTTGAGCAATCGTTCTTGCATGTCACACTTGATTATGACGTCATCGATTTGTAGCTGTAAATGCTCTTTATCGGTGCTTTCGTCTTTCAACCAATTTTTGAAATAAGATTCTAAACTTGTCGAGTTACAATCAAGTTGTACAACGTTCCAAAACCCTGTAACTTGATTTCCCTCGTCAGTTGTTTGTACGTCCTGACTCACACAATCATCAATCAAACTAGGAGACCACCTTGCGCTGTCTTCCTTTGTGAGACTAACGAATTCGACCTTCTTTATGTCGGACAAATTCAAATTCCGCATGATTTCGTCAGCAAATAATTTGATATTTTGAATGCTGCGACAAGTAAGCACAGTGATTTCAAATTGATTACCAAACGACGATAATTCTTTAAATTTTGAGAAACTATTCACAGCTTCTCGAACCGTATGCTGTAATGAATTGTCATCTCTTTCTGGAGGATTGGAAATTTGCTGCTTAATAATCCTAATCATATCATCCATAGAAGCACGAAGTCTTGGAAAGAGAGCTTTCGTGACTTTTTGTAGTGGCAAGAGCATCTCGGTACGTTTACAAGAAGCTAACAAAGAAATGGATGAAATTCTGTTTGGTCCGCTGAAGCTACACACCAGCGAGAAGAAGTTATCTACAGCGGTCACAATTGTCTGAACCGTCTCCAGGTCACATGGTTTTATGGTGTCGATGATAAGTGAATGTGCTGGCTGTCTCGAGTACAATTCCCGCAAGTTGAACTGCTGATGAGCTGGCCTTGACAAACCCCGCTGCATGACAGGATAATCTGCGTTCAAAATTGTTTACAGGTACGAATACTTTCTGCAAAGTGAGAAATCATTGGAATTTCAGCAATGTAAAAACAACAATAGCGGCAATACTTGTAACAATTAGACTATATTTGTCACATTTACACCATCCTATATTTCATAATTTTTCGTGCGAGGAAATATATACTTACAGGTATCTGAAAAGATCTTATTGTATTGAACAAAAGTTTGATAAAACAATGTTGTCAGGCTCGTTTCATGACTTATTTGGTCGAGTGCAACCTGACTTTTAAACATTTCAACGCAAAAATCAAAGATTCAAGCAGACAAAAAATAAAACCCGTAAGAAAATGATTCATGATTCAATAATGAAAAACGAAGCTGTGCAAAGCGTAAATTTTTTTATTTTACGTATTTAGCTCATGTGTTTAACACATAAAAATGATTGATGTTAATTTAAAAGTGATATTCCCTACCTTACTTACATGTATTGTTTGCGCCTTGCGGTACGGTATTTTCTATGTACAGAAATAACCATGCCATCGTAAAAATAGACAAAACTTTTATATTATACGATGTAGAGATCATGCAAAATATCTCCGAGTAGTAGTTTAATCTTGTGCATTACATTGCCTACATACGCCATTATTCCCACCCTGAAAATTTCCGCTCTTTCGTATCGACACGGTGCGAAAAGCAGCAATGGAATAGCTATATGACACAGACATAAGGTTGAGAAATTATGGGCCACTTACGAACAAGTCATCTTCTTTGCTGAATAAACCAGTATTTATTGGCATAACTACATAGCATCTGAGAAACGACGTACTGTATTAAAAAAGGTCTACAGACTTCTGATGTTAGCTTACCTATTCACGTGGAGTTTGACCCCTATCCCATGATAAATTTTGAAGATGTGAACTGAGACAGAAACTCGAAACTAAAACTCGAAATCATTGAGTACCCTTACATCAGGTGAATTCCCTCAAATACACTTAACAGTATGTGACGTAATAAACATCTTTTATTTATTCGAAGTACCGTACATTGCCAACAACGACTAATTGCCAAATATTTCTCATGCATTTATGTATCTCATTTTCTGCCATGGGTTATGACTTACAAAACGTACGAAGGATAAATTTCTTCACTAATTAAGCTGTAAATGCGAAGCCAGAGGGGATAATAATGTGCGAGACATTTTGTGTATTTACCGCCACCATAAAGTGGTTTACGTAACCCTTGGTTGGGTACTGTATTTTCCAACACCCAAATAAAGGCATTCGATGTAATTATAAGGTTAACAATACCAATAACAAATATATTGCGATTCACGTAATGTATGCCGCTACCGAAAGGCCATAGTTAGTCATATGATGTAGTCATATGATGTAATTTCATTCAACTTTTAGAATAAAACTAAAATAACAAATTATTCCACTTCACAATCTCGTGACCGATTGTGCGATTTCGCCAAGATCGTTGCCGAATTCTTGATACCATCTCAATAACTCAATTGCGAATTATGCATCTTATGTTAATTTTAAGTAATGTTTTGAGATAAAATTATTTCTTTCTATAATTTAAACTTATCAAATTAATATGCACGTGGAAAATAATCGTTGATAAATAAAAAAATAATTGACTCTATCGGCACTCTTAGCAAAATAACTGGCATTCTTCATGTGGGTTGGTGTTGTTATTGTTATTTCTGCTGCGTAGCGCAGACGCTCGCAGGCGAGCTCTGTTACGTCTGCATTGTCGCGCATCGTATAATCTAATATGCAGGAAAGGGGCACGGCGAGATGAGAGGTAAAAAGGCTGAGAAGCTCATTCTGGTCCAAGGTCAAAGTTCTTTTCATTGTAATGGCAATAGGCTTAAGTATTTTCAACTAATTAGGCCTATTCAGTTATTAATGTTCGGTATGGTTTCGTAAGGCTGTAAAGTTACCTATGTCAGGTATGCTAAGTTACGGTCCGTACACCAACTGACCAAATTTTTGTAATCGAAATTTCACAATTTGGTTTTTTCGTAGCCTATTTCGGAGCTGGAGTCAAAGTTCATGTCACCTAGATAAATTTAACTGCCTTATGACTGGACTACCTGATATAACATTAAGTCAGTAAGTGGAACACTGGAATGATATCCTTAATAATATACTGATATACTTATGAATCAGAAATGTGTCATACACCCCGATCTCCCAGATTTTCCCCGCAGACATTTTGTTCCAGACTTGCAAGATGTACTTCCATTCATCACTGTATCAAACTTGTTAGCATCAACTTTATACTTTATGTTTTCCGCTGCTGCAAAATTTAGACCTCTCTAATACTGTAATATGTTTGGCAGCTCGAAAAAGTTTGAAAACCGCTGTGTTATTACAGTATTATATCTGTTGTATAAAGATAGAGTAATCAATATAAATTTACTTATTTCTGTTCTCCGATCCGAAGATGTACCGACATTTGTTTCAATAAAACAAACACTCTATTTGTGTCTGAACTACTGAACTAGGGTGTCTTGCACGACAGCAGATGTGTCAGATTGTGCTATGCTTGTCTCAATAATAATTTGAACCAATTTGAACGTGCACCTGCGTCACATGACCAAAAATACTGGAATAAGGCTTGGTGAACTGTAACCATCACAACAGTGATATAGTGTCGTATAATTGCATCACAATGTCGGTTTTCTTTTCTCTGTGGATATATGCAAAAATATTGAATTCTGTCCTGAACTGTTGTGACATCATTGATTAAAATTGTCTGAATTTAATACACAAATCCTTTTTTTCCATGAATTTGAAATATTGTTTGAAATAGTCTAATTTGAGACATGGAAAAGTATAATTATTTCAAAATGTGGAAACTTTTTCTCTGGGTATTTACAATTTTCAAAACTGCTAAAGCTGAAGATGATACCGATGAAGATCATACCGCAGAGACCGGAAATATGTTGGTTTTCATTGCTGCATTGATGCTCACTATCATAACAACATTTGCTTTCAGATTTCGAAGTATTCGTTTTGTTCATGAAACTGGGCTTTCCATAGTTTATGGTAAGTATATGTAAAGGTATTTAGAATTGAATAAATATTTTCAAAATTTTCTTCCAGGATTCCATGGTTTTATGAATTTTATAATTTATAATAAAGTTTTTTTCGCACCAGTTGTAATAAATACAGAAATAAGTGTTTCAGTTCATCGGGTGCGCTATGGCCTATCAAGTAAAGTGCTAGACTTATCTGTGCAGCGATTGCAGATCACACATCCCAGGTTCGAATGCCATGCCCCCCACTTCATCAGGATGTAAATATATTGAATAGGCAATGCTGAACCGGAAACAAATAAAAAAAGTAACCTCTCACATTTCGTGAGATATCAGTGGATGCTCGTATTAGGCCGTTTTGGGAGCCGAAGGGTTAATAAGCGACATATAAAAAAATATTTACTCCCAAGGTATTTTTGCCAACTCATACATTACGCTTTAAATTTGTATTTGTTTGGTTGTTTCAGGACTCATCATTGGTGCAATACAAAGATATGGAACCCATGATCCTGAAGGCACATCATCACACCAAGATCTTTTATGTTCAGAAGTCACAAATTTATCCCAAGTAGAGTCGTCCAATAAAACGGTCGTTTTCAATCACACAAGCTATTATTGTAAATTAACACCAAACCAATATGAAAAGGAATTAGACAAGGTTTGTATTATCCATCCATTTTCAATAATTTAATTATATTTGCCAGAATGTGAGTACATCTTTCTGAAATCCATATTTTTACAGGTTGGATTCAAACCTGAAATATTTTTCAACTATCTGCTTCCACCTATTATATTTTATGCAGGATACAGCCTCAAAAAGGTAAGTTGTTTGTAGTGAAAAAATAATTATGACAATTTTTAGGTAATATATCTGTCTTGTTTGCTTGGTTAACTGTTCTGTTCATATGTCCTCTCTTTTGGAGAAAAAAATTACAAACAATATTTTTGTTTTTCAGAGACATTTTTTTCGAAACATTGGTACCATTTTAACATTTGCATTTATCGGAACTACAATTTCTATGTTGGTTATTGGGTATGTAACGTTTTCTTCCCTATTTAAATTCGCGTGGTTGGATTTAATATCTGGTATATATTTCACTCATCGGCAACATCGGACTGTTTAAAAAATACATTAAAAAACAATATCTCAATTGATCTCAGACCTGGATTTACTACTAAAATCTCTCTGTCTACTTCCATTTTTGTTATAAATTTTTCACCATATCGGCTTTCAGATCAATATCATATGGATTTGTTCAAATCATGGAAAAAGTGCATCCTCCAACGCATGTCAATGATAAATTTGAGTTTGTTGATTGTATGTTATTTGGTGCAATCATATCAGCTACAGATCCTGTGACTGTGTTAGCAGTTTTCAAAGAATTACGCGTCGACGTCAACTTAGATGCAATGTTGTTTGGTGAAAGTGTCCTCAACGATGCCGTTGCTCTTGTTCTTGTCACGTAAGTAACATTCGTGTATCATTTTCAATTATCTGTTCATAAGCGGAAATCTAGATTTGTTGAATCTTAATCGGCTATTGGATTTGTTTTTGTGTGGTACGTTAAAGAGATGGCAACATACCTACTACCTACCTCCTATACTAGGGTATAATGAATTGGGAAGACAATGCCCAGCTGGAAAAATTTAGTCTTTCTAAAAATAATATCCCCTTGCACAGTTAGTGACTAATACTACAGAGCTTTTATGAAGGGAAAATATGAACTCCCTTCATGAAAATTGTTTGCTTTTTCCTCCTAATTTTTCTTTTAAATTTTCAATCAAATGTTACATCAGGTTTATGTTCACTACGTATTATTCCTACTTCAATAGTGCTATTTATATTACCTTTCCAATGACTTCTTTTAACTTCTCAACAGCTCGATCAAAGGATACAAAACTTCTCTCTTGAATACTAATCAAAAAGATTTTGATGTTGAAGCATTTTTCTCATCTCTTGGAATGTTTCTTGGAAAATTTCTGGGATCGTTTGTAATCGGATGTGCAGTTTCATTTGTTACAGCTCTCATATCCTTTTCAGAAGCAAGCATTACAATGTACTAGTTGTATGCCTTATCATGCGTAAAGTATGCCTTATCATGCATAAAATATCCAATCGGGTAATATAAATATATTTGTCTGGCCCGATGGCTAGCGCAGGGGTGGGCAATTACTTTTCTGAGTGGGCCAGTTACAGATGATAGACTTGGTTACTGAGTCGGAGGCGCAAAACTCAATAGGAAAAACTATGAATAAAAAACAGTTTATTTACATCAGCTACTCTAACAGCTAGGCTACTGTTTATATAATAATAAGCAGCACAATGTAACAATCAGGGTCATTATAACATTAGTTTCATCGGTATTTTCAACAAAAATTTATATCCATAAAAATTACCGTCGTAATTTCAGCATGTGGGCTGGATGAAACACTTCAGTGGGTCAGATCTGGCCCACGGGCCTAATTTGCCCACTCTTGCCTCGGCGGTTAATAAAGCATTATACTTGAACGTGTTGGCATCTCAGATCACACATCTTGGCTTCAGCAAGGAGCCACTATAGTTTAGAATGATTGGAAACTCTCCAGTTTGGCACAGCCTACTTAATTTATTACAATCTGGGTGAGGTGTTGGGCATGAGGTTAAAATCAGAGATTTTGACCTGTGATGCCGTCATAGTAAAGTCTAACGCTTCGAGATTGCCATTTTTAGAATTCTGAAATGCCTTCTCATCCTTCTTTTTTATATAATATCCATGTTATATAGTCCTTAATTCTATCACACTTCACCAAGTTTACAAAGATAGGTCAATTTCCAGTGATGGAGACTTCAGTGTTTTTTTTATTATCATGGTCTGCGTTTCTTCTGGCTGAAGCTGTTGGATTCACAGGAATTGTTGCTGTTCTCTTTTGTGGTATCACACAGGTAAGATTTTTGAAGGTCATCTTTCGAAGGAGCACAATTTTGTGGGTTTTTTTCGTATGAGCTTGATTAGTATTGAACTTGCAATTCAGATATAATCAGAGATTGATTGTTATATATCGGCCAACCGAAATATTGGCCCGAATTGCGCATTTGCCAATATATCGTATCAGGAGAAATTCAAAAATATATATTGGCATTAGTTGTATTTGCACATTTCAAACGAGCGAGTCCTTTTCTCTCCAGATAGACATAACATATTGAGATATTACGAGAGAGAAATAAGACATTACGAACAAGAAACAAAATTTTAAGAATATGAAATTTAATATTTTATTTAAGTGATATACATAGTCATGAGTTATTAAACTGAAATTTATCATGGTAGTTGCAAGGCAAATATTTCAAATAATAGTGGTTCAAAACACATAAATATTTTTTTACTGGACCTGAATTTCAAGCTTATGAACTTGCAAGTGAATGTCATCATGATTTATACTTTCCTTCCTCATTATTCGATATTGCAACAAGCTGCCTATTTTATCTAACTCAGAGTATTCGCTGAAATATAAGAATGATGCGACTTACTTCCTGTTGCGTTGCTACGCCAATTCTATTGATTGTGCCTTTATACATTAAACAGAAGATATCAAACTTCTTTTCTTATGGGAAAAGAATAATTTGAAACTTCATATGCTTAGTGTTCCTCAATTAACGAATTATCACTTGTAATATTCAGTATTGTTGAGCTGAAATCTCTTTTTCTGAGTCTTTTTTTGTTCTGGTCATAACCCCATGCAAAGGGTATAAAAATGTCCCATGATGATAAGTAAATTGCTTCACTCTACCTACTATGGCTATGAAGTACTTCTTGGTAGTGGTTTTATTTATAGTCGTTCAAAATACTGGTACCTATGCCACTAAAATGTCAAGATTCTAATCAGTGTTTAGTTTTTACAATTCGTGGTAATTTAATAAAGTAAATCCAACTTAACTTTATATCTAACAGACATTTTAAACAAATTCTTTATGAATGTGTTTATCTTCTAAAAAAAACACCTTATTTGTTTTAGTATATGTTCTGTGCCCGTATTTAAATCCATTATTTAATGCTCTTTAATCTCAATAGAGGAATGTTTCAATTCATGGTTATTTGAATATTTTACTTGGTTCCATTCATTCTTAGTTATTAAACTGTACAATAAGTCTGAGGTCATTTTCAATATAATGTTGTGTCTTGTGTGACACAAATAATTTATTTATTTATCATAGTTGGCCCTTGAGTACAAATATTGTAAATATCCTATAACAATCAGGAAACACCAAACTGTTGGTCAATTGACCTTTTTTGCTGGTTTGATTGGTTTTAACCATTTCCTGGAGTGAATCAAAATGTGGTAAATGCATTGCAGATTTAAACAAGTACAACGAATACAATAGTATAATATTCATTAATTTGGGCCCGCTACAGCATTCATGATTGAATTTTCATACATGGACTTTTTGCTGGAAAAATAAATGATTTTGGTTTTCTTGTATTTGGCTTGTAAAACATTCTTTATTAAGAGTGTTAATAAAATTTATGACATAATTGTGTTTTGCATATTTATTCACCACATTTTTTTTATTTTCTGTATGTTTCAATCCAGATCATTTGTCTATGTAGCTCATTGCTAATTTATTCATCTACTGTATTAGTCGCTATCTACTTTATAGATCTTGTAGAATCAAATTCATTTACCGTAGTTTATTTAGCTTTGAATCAGGCCCTGTCAATACTATAATATGGAACATTAATTACTTACACTAATAATTTCGATTTTGTGAATGCATACATACCATTGTCATCCTTGTGATGAAATGGGTTAGCTGATGCTAGTGCTCTGGTAAGTGATATTGCAAGTTTTAATCAAATAGGGAAACAAATAGAGAACAACAGCGGTTCCCAAGTGAGTAAACTCGCGATGTTTTGATCAATTTTGGGTTTTCTCCGACTGCGGCCTGCGAGACATCTTCAAATTTTTTTTGTGACTCGCCAACCTAGCAACCTTGGACCACCCTGATATAAAGTATTATATTACCGGTATGTAAGTCTTAACCCTGTAAATGGTATTTACTCTTATTCAATTTTGAGAAGCAACACTCAAACTATCCAGGAATGTTTTACGAAGAACCTTCAGTCATGCATATAATGTTATAGCATAGTGATCTGGCAATTCTAAAATTGTACAATTTAATGTTATATAGGCATATTTTGTATCAAGTACTTTCACTTCAAAAATAGTGAGCAAGGTTATAGCATTTCATTACCAGATGAATATTCTAATTTCTAACAATATGGTGTCCACAGTATTTGTAAATTGATCTGTCCCTCTGGTGATGCTTGGTAAAGATTGATCTGAATAAATCAATAAGATCAATTCTTATTAATACACAAAGAAGTTGCTGCAATAGTATTGTGATCATGTGATACTTGTGATTGTGTGCATAAATATGAACGAAATGATTCCAATTGATACTTTATTATTTAAACATGCAAAGTTGTAACAGGCATTTGGGTTAATATACAGGGTGTCCATAAAGTCCATTTAGAATTTCAATTTCGTTGTGAAGTCGGTTTTCAATATACCGGTATCTTAACCAGGTTCGGTGTTTTTTTTCTCTGTAATTTTTCAAGTATTTTTACTTCATTTCTTACATCTGTGAGGGCCAAAACAATATATGGTATCGATAAATTTTCTTTGCAATTTTAAAAAATGTTGAAACTTTATGGGCACCCTATATTTATGTAGATTGCTGACTAACCTTTTGATTACCAGCTATACATATTAGAAATGAAAAGAAAATTCTTCTGCTTCGGAATCAAATTTTATAGCTTTCATCGGCTCATTGCAAAAGTTAGGGTATCTACCAAATCTGAAAATAGTCCGGTTCCCAATCGAATTTCTCATGGACTAAATTGAGCTCATAAGTTTAACTTGAAATGTAGTATCTCCATAATTTTTATATTACTGATAGAATAGTGTTTGTGTGTAAGGCAAAATTCGTTTAGGTGGAAATGATTGGTATTGTTATTGTGGTTTTTCCCTCCCTTGCTAATGTTATGATCGCATTTGGAACTTCTTGATAACAAAACTGAGTCAGTAGTTGTCAGTTGCTAGATTTTAAAAAGAGGAAATACCCTGCAACTTCATGCTCCGATAAAGTGCTTTGCATTTGTTACTTCATGATTTCATAATTTCCTGCTCCAGTATAATGTCTTTCAACCATAATTCTAACTTCTTTTGCCTTTTCATTATGTTTATACATCCATTGCTGTGTTATTCTACATTAGATGGAATAAAACATTCATTTGCCTAATATACGGAAAAATATTCTATGTCAACCCAAATGGCCGCATATGGTACATCTAAGCAATATTGGGCAGTTACATCGAAGTACCTTGTTTTGAAAAGGTCATATTATCTACAACAGAGTGGTCCAAACCCTGGCCTACGGGCCACATGTGGCCCACTGTATCATTATCTGTGACCTGCGTCACATTTGCTGATATAGGTAACAATTGGTGATAACCAAAAAATTTAATTTTTTTGTATTGTTCTTCATGAAAATAACCTGAAAAATCTTCTGACACATTGTTGCATCACTAACGTTGTTGAATTTCTAGTGACATGAATACCTAAGACACTCATTGGACAAAGGTGATTTTGGTAGGCTAATTGAATAGTGTGCTTGGCCAGCCTAAACTGATTTGAAAGTCAGTTATTCGATTTTGACTCCCTCGAATTACTTGAAACTTCCACAAATTGTATCTCAAAAGGTTACATAGACAACTAAATATCGGCCTAGCAATATACTCCCTCTCGCATTGCCTTTTAGTTATCAATGTAAACAATAACAGTAAAATTGGTGCCTAGTGATCTTTAGTGATTTGTAAGTCTCGTTGTAAGGAGTCTGAAATCTAATACTAGGAACAGGTTGGGAGGCGAAACATTGGATGTCAGTTAGAGAATTTCAATGACCAACCAAATTGTTGATATGAAAAGATTGATCAATGATAAATAATAATCAATTGTCTTGGGACTAATGTGGCTCACGAACAACACAAAATTACTATTGTGGCCCCTGACGTCAACAACCTTGGACCACCCTAATCTAAATAATCAGATCTAGATAATATATTATTTCGAAATATATCCGGGATAGTATGCTATTTGATTTTGCCCATTACTGTTAAAGATATGTGTCAAATTTTACAAAATGAAATTTGACAGTTGTTGTGTTTCTTTTAAATATGCTTTTCAAAGTAGTTTATAATATTAAACTAATTGCATCCCAGATTTTTGAGTAGTGTTTTTTTTTCAGGCACATTATACATACAACAACCTATCATCGGAGTCGAAAGCTCGAACGAGACAACTCTTTGAAGTCTTGAATTTTCTTGCTGAGAATTTTATTTTTGTTTACATGGGTACTGCAATGTTCACATTCCAGCATCATCAATGGAGACCAATTTTTATTGTTGGGGCTTTTGTATCCTTTAATATTGAATGATTTATGGCATCTGTATACTAAACCTTTCTTGACAGAATTAATCTGGCTGGCGGTTTGTTTCTGAGTATATTTACTTGACTATCACAGACAGTCCCGGAACTTAGAACTAAAATGAGGAAAATCGTAATAAAATCATGGCCTAACCCTAACCTGGTACACACACTATGGGAGTACCAAATATGTAGCAAATTGCTACTTGTTTACAGTTAGTGTTCAAAAATGTGGAAAAGGGCTTCAATGTTAAAAGTAAAGATACAACGTTCAAATACAATTTTTTGAAAATATTCAGTTTGCTCAAACAAGAAATACCTGGTTTTAACAACTACTTTCACACAACCATTTCGAATTCTTCAAGGTTTTATTGTTATTTTTATTCGATCCAATTTGAAATTGAATGCTATACTTCAATTTTTGTTTGGCTTGCAAAGTAAACTCAATTCTGGTACTTGGCATTTGAACTAACATAAATAGATACATTTGAACAATAGTAACTGGGTTACTAGTAAAATTTAAGTCGTTTTAGATTGAGAAACACCAGAATCGCCCTGCTTTAACAGCACACAGTGATGAGAGGTCTTTCAATTTTCCTCGAATTGATATGTTATGTACTGTATTATTATACAAGGCTTCCATTTTACTGATAAATACGACCTTGTAATAGGCATATACAGTTGATATGTAACTATGTTATCAAATGCTGTAAATTAAAACCAATGCACCATTTTTAGAAAGCATTTGCTGTATTGACTAATGGTAATTGATTCTTTAGATGGGGTCAATTATAAGTTTGACTTCATAAATTATAGGCCATCGATACAAATACTCTGTGTGATATTCAATCAATAATCCTGGCAGACTTTGGATAAATGTATCTTTATGAGAAGAATCATTAAGATTGTTCCTATAATCAAGTTTGCAGTCTAGTGTGTGGTGACATAATTGATGGTCTTTTAGTTTAGAATTCCATGTGCAAGTTTGATCAGAAACTAGATTCTTTTTAATAAGTTGCAAAATAACCAAGACAAAAAATCCTTTCATTGAGATGATTGATATTTACAACTGTACATATGTATTTCAGACTTTCTTTATTTTTAAAAGGTTGTTCCAACATTATGCCTTATCAAATTCTTATGCAAGCAGGAATAACTTTGTCTGCGTTTTTGTGTCATGTTTTCTGTCTTTGTAGGGAATTGAATTTTATTGGTATTTTAAAAATTCCTTTTCAGTGAATAAGAACTTTGAAAATGCTGGAATGCAATGTTTTTATCTTTATGTCATAATTGGATATACAAAATTTCACTGCATTGTAAGACAAATATTTTCCTGATATCAATGCTGATGTCATTGCTTATTTTGACATCTCAATTTCAAATATACGACTATTTAACATTTTCTGTCATTATTACATATTTGAGATATTTCCTTAATTTTGATATAATGAAGCTTGCTGTAATCATATCAAGAGCATGCAACATTTATCCTCTGACATTTTTATTGAATCTTGGAAGGAGGAGAAAAATAGCAAGAAACATTCAACATATGATGATGTTCTCGGGTAAGATATGTCAGAGAGTGGTTGCTATCAGGCTTATTCATAGTAAAACATGCACCAATGGTAAGAAACAAACAATATGGCTTGTTGCTATTGAATGCCTGTATGGGAATTCAAAATGATGTCTATTTCCTTTGCTTATTACTAGTTGTAAATGTTTCAATATACGCGTAGAGTAAGACCTTCTGGATTCAAATGGATCCAGTGAATGAAGTGATGGATGTTTGAACAATTATGGTAAATGTAATCAGGATTCAAATCTTGAAAAATAAAGATCTTCATCAAAGTTCATGGGTTTAAATTACGAATTTAATTTATATCAACGTGTTCAGCCCATTATAGTTTACCGGTATGTAATTATGATTAATAGAACAATGAATATGAAACAGTAAACAGTATTACATACTTTGTTAGTTTATGAAAATGACTCAAACAAACGATTTACGTGTGGGTATTACTTATAAGAAAATTTTAATACTGCAATATCCATTGTATTTTTATACTTTATGAATAGGATACCCTTAATTTGATAATGGGTTTAACTACTTTTAATATTTTATAGAAAGCTCTGTTCTGTTAGAACATGATAAAATCATATATAAATTTTCTCAATTTTTGAATGTTTTATCATTGTCTTTCCATAATAAATCATCGGAAATTAATCATTACTAATTGTGTAGCATTTGTTGTTCTATGAGTGCACTCCACTGATGCTTTAATACAATTCAATACTTGACATGTACTTGTTGAATTCATTTTAATTCTAAAGTAGCAGGTGCATTGGAAATACAAACATGCTGATGATAATACATATGCTAAAGCATATCGAGTCATAATCTCAATTACCGGTACTTTCAAATTCTTGAAATTCAGAAAATTGAAATATAATTTATTGTGTAATCATGTAATTTATACATGTAACCTTATAATAAACAAGATTTAGAATGGAATTTGAAACACATATAATCATCTTATTTTTTTTTTTTTTTACGGCTGTGTAATTTGCATTATGTGACAAAACGCTACATCTCATATTTTATTGCATATGGATATCTTTTTTACTTACAAATAATCTAGAATTGCAAACACCTTTTAGCGTTGAAAATTTTTAGTCCAAAATTCTATCTCTTTGTTTAAAATTTCTATCAACCCAATTTGCTAGTATTCTAACCACTGTCTCATATTTTAGATATCATTTCTTTTATAGGACTGCGTGGGGCCATTGCATTTGCGTTGGCAATCAGAGTCACAAATTCAACGACTGAGCAAATCATATTTACAACAACATTATTGATTGTATTTTCTACCGTCTGGTTACTTGGAGGAAGCACAACGCAAATGTTGACGTGGCTTAATATCAAGTAAAGAAATATAGAAATACTTTTGCATGATAGCTTTATAATAGCATAGTGGTCCTAGATTTGGGGTTGGAAGTCTTCAGTTTGGATTTTATCTTTTTGTGACACAATATTCAGCTTGAATAGGTTTTTGTATGTATGGATTAAGAAAGGGTACTTAGTATGTGTACCAGGTTCGGGTTAGGTCTATAATTTTATTCCAATTTTTTATTTTAGTTCTATTACGAGTTTGGGGACTGTCTGTTTAGCCAAGTGAATATACCCCCTGCCCATAGGTTTCAGTCCCTTCACACAACTTGATGTAAAATAGGCGAACAAAATTAGTTACCGGTACCTCAATATTAGTACACATACTTCTGGAGCACCTATGAAAGAGCTAAAATACTCTTAATAAAATCATGGAAAATGAAAAGAAAAGTTGGACTTGATCAAATATGTATATATGATTTAATTACTTCACCAAAATATCTACCCATACCCTCAATCTAATGAACCTGTCAAAATAACTTTTCTGTAATAATCAATTTTCTTTTTAGAGTTGGTGTTGATCCAGATGCACCTGATGAATATGACATGCAGAGTAATAACCGACAGGTAATTAGTTTTTGTCTTCTCCAAATTGTTTTCTTTTATTATATTGTAATTTTAATGATATAACCTGATATAATATCATTTTATTCAAGCTATTTTCATACCTCCCTACGATGCATTGCATAAGATGTTGTGGTGTTTATTTATTGCATGTTAATTGTCAAAGTAACAATAACATATTCAGTCACATCATCCACCTTGAAATACAAAATATGATACTTACCTAGGTATATACGAAATGTGTGCATAGCGTGCTGAATATTTGGATAAAAATGCAAATACAGCTTACCAGATTGCAAATAATTCCTGGAATTATTTGTCAATAAAAACATTACAAATCCTGATCTCTGACAATTGGTTTTTAGTTTACCGGTTTCAAATTTGATAAAAAACATTGATTTCACAATTGAGTATCATTTATATTGCGTGGGTGCACCTTAATATATATGTAAATGTACATATTTCAAATTATAATATTGAAATATAGTTTTTCATAAATAAATTTGTGCCCTGTGATATTAAAATATTATTGCTAATGCACAGAATTGTCATGGTATGTTAATAATAAACTCGAAAATCAATCCAAGAAAACATTTCATAGACAACATAGCCTGCGTAACTTTATATAGGTTGAACATGAGCAATAATCAAGACTTCAGTCATCTGCTTCCGCCATCTATTGTTGTATCAAAAGTTTATATTTTGAATAATATCTTATTCATAGGTGGAGGCCCGAAAAAGTTGTAATTGTACGTGATGTCCATCAATTTCTTAATTTACTTTTATGAAAATGGTAAAATTTACATAAAGATTGATACACTTTTTGTATGATTGTCCCGAAAATCTTAGTGAATCTAAGATGAATTGCACAAAAGTTATGTTCTCGCTAGTATATGTTCCAAATGACCTTTTTTTTTGAGGTTGGGGGGAACCCTGCACCTTTGCTTTCACCTATATTATACCTTTGCTTTCACCTATATTTTTGAACTAATATGTGTTGGTGAAATGAATTTGATTGTTATTACATTTACTGGTGACATTAACCATTGTTGACTTACAGGACAGTAGTAATGTGGAATATGAACTATGCAATACTGTTATTGATGCTGAGGTTGAGGATGTAAGTCCTTGTTTCAAGAATGAGTATTTGAAATGCTTGCAATTTTAGAATTTGAAAATATGAATTGCTAATTATTGCATGTATGACCAAACTACAGAACATTGTGCATGGTTTGCCTACTAATTTAGAATGGAAAAAGTCATCTGCATTTTTTAGTTGGTTTTGGCATATTGCTGTGCTGTGATGCCAAAACCAACGTTTGTGAAATTTTGAGTTTGATTTAAGATTTGTCAGGCTTTGTCTATGGCCCCCACCTTACCCAGTGTGTAATAAATAGAGTAAGCAATGCTGAACCGTAAAGACTTCAGACCCCTTCAAACACATAGTAACTCCTTTCACATCAATGGCTGCTTGTACATGGCCGAGTTCGGAGCAAAACCTGTAATCATCAAAAAAACTCTAGTAGATAAATATTCATAATCCTGCTGGGCGCTAATCTAATCTTGATTATTATTTGTGAGTGTATGGCCAGATGGTATTTGAGTAAATAGCTATTTTTGCAAGTACAAGAATACAACTTTATAGAGAGGAGATATGTATAATCAGAATTCTGTAAAGGGAATAATACTTTATATTTTAGTGGTGGTAATGAACTACTTTGTTATTAAATAATACAGACATATAATTGCTCTTCTGTGCATGGTAGTGAGTTATCCAGAGAGCATGTATAATTTTTTTAATTTTTGCACAAATTCAAGCTTATTCAAGCTGTGGCCGGTGTGACATCTGGCCCCAATCAATTACTAAAAATAATTTTCCTTTTCCTATTTATTAAATATATTTACCTCACTATTACATAAATTAGAGAGGTTCTCAATTCTTCTAGGTGAGAATAAACCAGATAAGGTGGGCAAGGTAAAGCCTTCCATCTCACTACCAGTCTAGGTCAGATATTACAAGCCTCGGATCTGCTGACGAGTGTATTCCTAGCACTCCGGTGTATCAACTATTGATTTGTGTCAAAATTGGGAATTGCATTTCTTTATGAGTAATTTTTTATTTAAAAATAAATTTATGTTGTGTATGTGTTATACTCCATACACTACAAAAATGTTTGTTTTTTGAAAAATTGAAATATATTTCATGTATGGTAATATTCAACATATTTAATATTTCATCACATTTTTTGTAAATATTTTTTATAAAAAAATAATTTTAAGCGTCTAATCATATTTGGTAAAAAAAATTTTAATTACAATTCAGCTCACATATCTACATTCAATGGCACTGTACTTTATCTTGCAGGAGGTATCGGTTTTAACAGATTCGGAAAGTTCTCAGTTTTGTAGTAAAGAATATCTTATATGTTTTGAAGTATCTAACTTTGTAGATCACTTGATCAGCTTAGTTTATTTGTCAGAATTCAGATCAATGTGCAGATGGCCATGATTCACCAACTTCTGATTCATCATCCTTAATATTAAAGACAGCATATGGAACGGTATAAGAGTATAAATGAAAAAATTTCAGCAAAAACATAATTCTTTGCACTTTTTTCCTATTTCTAAAATCTTGGAAGCTGTAAGAGTCTGATAAAAACAAAGCATTGTCATTAATTAGAAAGGTGATATTGATAAATTCAAATTTTTTATTATATTTATGATGATGGCTGATGCCTATATTGGGACAGTATACTATTTAATTCCTTAAATTGTTTCATTATATAACAAAATTCTGATGTGGAAAATATTATCCTTATAATAAAACTATAATAAAAATACCGGTATTCCTTTTGAAATACAATCATAATGTTATTGCAAAGCTGTCCAATTGATAGAAAAAAATGCAACATTTCAATATATCTTCATCTTTACATTCACCATTTATATATATCAATGAAGATTTGATGTGGAATAGAGATCTTGAATTGTTTTTGCTGAAATTCAAACAGCTTATTGATCTGTTTGTTTCTTTGTTAGAAAAGAATATAGTAGGCAGTTTTATGGTGAATATTAGAATAGTGGAGAGTTAACAGTTGAAATAAACTTGTACTTTTTCTTGTTCTTCCTTATTTAATTGACATAGTTTGAATAGATTTAGTATTGGAGATATATTTGTAGTTTTGATCAAATTATAGTTTAATTGAATATTTAAGATGGAATTTGTAGATATATAGTAGAATGTTGTAAGAGGATGTAGAAGTAATTTTACGAGAATTTTCAACGAGATTTTTTGTGGAATGAAATGTTTCATAAAATAATTTCATTATGCAATAGTATTTAATTCAAGGATGCAGCCATGTATAAGCTGCCAGTTTAACAAAAGTTCTTAAATAGAAAAATCAATGTTTAATTTGGCTCATTTTTTTTTCCTCAGATGGAAATTTATGATTGCCTATTCCAATTTGTGGACATTTCATTTTCAATTCATTCAATTGCATAATTCATAATTTTAAATTTGACAATCGCTAAGGATTGAATATGCAGAAGGTCCTTCATTTATGAATACATTTGTAGAGCATTAAATTTTGATTACATTTCTGTTTTATGATATCTTGAAAGTCACATGTTTTTAGACTTCTGTAGTTTGTATTCATTTCTTACTCATTGCTTTTGAACATGTACTACTACCTCACTTTGCAAACGACTGGCGAAATCATTTATTAATTTTATTTCTTATGTTTTCCAGCAAGCCAACGATGGAGGATCAATATCACAGATACCTCACAATCGATCATTTTTACGAAAATATAAAGATAGTGCTTGGGTGTTCAAGCATTGGTATAAATTTGATAAATAGTATCCTTTCAAATCTTAATTCTAGATTTCAACATAACAGATACGGTAAATATTCTAATTTTAGTATAATGTTTGTGTGATTATTAATGGAGATGATTTGCTCTCATTTGAGCTGTTCTAAAGATAGAAAAAATTAATTAATTGGAGTCGAAGAACAAAAAATTAGGATAGGATTTATCGTACATATTTATCCGGGGAGAGGAAAGATGATAACATAGCTTAATCATATGGCAAACCACGGCCTCTCATTCGGTTCCCAAAGGGGAAGGGATTACTGTAATTAGCCAGGTCCTTTGGCCAGCCTAATCCTAACGCTTGGTATGATGCGCCAATACAGATTACAAGTTATTCAGGATACAGCTGCCGTTTTTCTGCACAAAAATGTCTACCGGCAATTCAAAAAGTAAATTTTTAATTAAGTGATATGTCTTTTGCATGTTTCTTATTACTATTCTGTACACCAGGGGTCGGCAACCTTTTGTCGCTCGCGGGCCAAAATTAAGGGTTGCAACTTGCAAGTCATTGGCGGGCCACACATATAGTTTTAGAAAGTTGAAAACCGAATGGATGATACTTTTTATAATGAAAATCAAGCAGTGATATCTCTCAAATAAAATATAGATTTATTTCTTCATTGCATCTCATAAAATCCCATTTGAATATTTTCAGCGCCATCGAACCCTTTGCACTTTTCATCAACTTTTCTGCGTTTTGTTGCCATTTGTCTAATTATAATTAAATTATATGCTCATTAAACGAGTAATCCTGAATTATATAATTGTTGGGTTATAATATAATTTGGTCTAAAGAATATATTCATCAAAACGGATGTTTTGTTAGTATAATTCAGTGAAGTGTCGCGGGCTATAGGTTGCCGACCCCTGCTGTACACTATACTTTGCTAAAAACTCAATATACCAGATTGATTCTAAGTGATGTTTATTATGTTAAGATTATCAGATTAATTTATTCATATAAGCTCAGTCAATAAATGAAATTCTTCATCTTTAGTGGCTTTAGTTGATACCACTTGTTCACATTTGCTATTACTTGTTTATTATCAATATTAGACCTTTTTAAATGTTTTTCTTAATAACTAACCTGAAAATAGCTATTTGAAGCCATTTCTAACCCATGCTGGACCACCACTCACAACTACTTTGCCGAATTGCTGCAGACCTTGCGCTAATTGTTTAACATCAATAAATGCATATGAGGTATAGTACATATTTTTTATATTATAAACAGTCATTGAGCATTTTTTTCACAAATGAAAATGCTCGGGTTTATTGGTGGTGGGAATTTGTGAAATGTTCTTAATCAAAATTGTAATTCATTGTAATATTATATTGAGATAATGTTTCGGAACCATGGCAATATTAATAAAGAATTATTACTTATCGATCTCGATCTGTAAGTATGTTGATAGGTATTTGTGTGTTTGTCTGTTCGACACTTTCGTATGTTACGCGATATCTCACGAAAGCGAGATTGAATCTGCTCCAAATTGTATGTGCATTCATCATATCTCGGACCAGAAGCCTATTGATTTTGGATAAATTATGTCGTATAAATAGCGAGTTATTAATTAGTTAGTGATGCGGAAGATCGATAAGTCGGCGGTCTCTGATCGCTATCTCGTTTGATTTGCTTGGAGATTTAAAAATATCGATTAGGGAGAAATTAAAAGTTGAAAAAAGTGAAGGATAATTCTAGCTTGTTCAACTTTCGGTTCGATGGTTCAGTTTCAAGTCTACTTCATTTTTATATTTATGACTTTTCGCTCCGAACAAGGTACTATACACACAGCCAAACTAATAGTATCTAAGAACTATTATTCAATGCTATCCTAATCCATGTCAGAACGCAGGGGTGTGTATTCCAAGAGGAGATGATTATCAGTGATAACCAAGCAATAATGATCATGGTAAATGATCAAAGTACCACATTTACATATGATCTTTCTGCAAAAACAAACTTTTTAGTGTTGCCGAGTCCTTCATTAGTAAGTGATCTGCTGCCCAGGCCGAGTTTCTCATAATGCCCCATATACTTAAGATCCAGTATCATTTTCGCCAAGTTCGCACAAATATCACCGGGCCAAATATGACAGGATTCACCGGAATAATTGCTTTCCCAATTTACTACAACCTGGGTGGGGTTTGGGGCATGTGATTTGAACACAAGATGTATAATCTGCAATGCCAATACGATTATATCTAACGCTTCAATAACTACGCCTCTCCTAATTTATTCTGATTATTCAAAATGTTTTCAGACTCAGCATAATAATCAAGACAGCGATTCAGAATTTATTTTGAATGATGATAATTTGTCTTTCGGAGAAGTTGGATCACAGACCCCACAAGCTGAAAGAAGTCGAATATCAAGTGTCACTGATTCCAAAATTGCTTCAACTTCTATCGGTGAAAATGGGTTGGTTGCATCAACTTCTCACACACAATTCGGTAGTGATGGAACACCACCTCCCATATCTCCAGGAATTATCGCAGATCAGCCAAAAGATGCAGAAGGGGAATCAAATTCGAATAACAACCACATGGGGCAACGTAATCAAACTGGTCCATACCAACTCCAAAATCTTACTGCAGTTGTTGACGACGGCAATTTGCAAGGTGCATCCTCTGGAGTTGTCACAGTAGTTGTGGGCAGCCCGAATAGCGAAACACCAATTCATTCTATGATTGGACAACAACCATTGTGATCTGTATATCTCATTTCATAATTTCATTCGAAAATTATGATAATGGAGTTATTACCACTTTGGCTGTAAAAGGATCAATATGATGCTTACTGATTGTGTTTTGGCTGAATCCTCGGATATCCAGAATAAATTATATATAATATGAAACGAAAACCGAATATATTCAGTATTTTAAATTTCAGGATTGCTTTAGTACGGAGGTTCCCGAACACACTGTAATACAAATCACAGCGCTCGGTAGTAAAATTTCACTTTATTAACATTATGTTAGGGCGAAAAAAAGATTCATAAAACATTTACATTTAATCAATGCTATACATGAGCTTGATTTTCTGCACAGGGGAAATCATATTTATAACAGCTGAATGTCTGATATACGCAATCACGCTTCGTTTTCAAAGTGTATTATAACAGATTTGATCATTTTATGTCAAGTTCTTAACAAGATCATATAAGCAGTAATTTGTAGAACAGAGATTCCTATTTGCGTCATCCCAAAAAGTTTTGGAACTGCAATTTTAAAATATCTTCATCTGAAAATTCATGAAATTGACACCAAATTCCACTTTTCACTTGGCAAATCTATGTTAAGCACTAATATCCCATATTTTGTTTCACAATGTCGGCTCCTTTGAATAGCCTACATACTATTAAACAAGAAGTACCGTTTCTCATTTCAAATATGTCAGAATTTAGAGTGTATTGCATAATCATTTTTTTCAAATCTATTTAAAATAGTACATTATATAGTTTTGGACATCCCTATTTTAATTGTATGTATAATATTAAAAAGTCAGTTATATTAATTAGTGTTTCATTGTGATTATGATACTAGATATTATTATTTATATCATATATATAAAAGTATATTATGACAAACATAAAATTGTCATATATAATGTATTTAAGTGATCATTTGGTATATTAATATAGCCTACTCCATATTTTATTTTGCTCGAAACCTTTTTCCTTTGCATGTTTAGCAATGTTCTGATTCCTGTTTTATGCACCATTTTTAGTTTTTCGATTCTTTTGGCATGTATTGAAAGTTGAAAATAACTTTGGAATAATAAGTTTGGATCATGTATGTGAATATGTATGTTCGAACCACATCATCATTGATCATTTTTTTAACGAAGTGAACCTAAACGACACACTGCCTTTTCGATAGTTTTCAAATGTTGTTTTCAAGTTTTTCATAATTTGTTTTATTTTTGCTGTCTGCATACTTACTTTGAAATCATGACCGATAGTTTGTAATGGCCTCTACTACACATGTGCATATACGAGATCACAAAATTTTGCATTATTCTTGAATCAATGTTATTTTATCCCAGTTGAAATTGTATTTACTCATTTTTTTATCATTTTAATGGCATGCAATGTACCAGTCCCCTGATTAGATATTCTAAAAAATTGGCGAACTATCACAAAATAGGCAGCCAAGTCACAATGTATTAGATCTATCTATTGATAATGTTAGGCACTGGTATAGAATTGGTCGTTTGTGACTTGACCTATAAGAGGATCGGTTCATTTGTAATTGTGAGTAAATACTTGTGCCCTTACATTGAGCAAATATTTTAATAAACATTCTAGTTCAGTTTTTGAAATTGTCAGTATTAGTTAGACTAGTCGTGCTGACGAATCACTATTTTGTATACCCTAAAGTGAACAGTATTTTACCTACAACGTTTCCAGTAATAAAGTAGGTCTAAGGAAGTAAAATCATCCTTAACTAATGCAAGTGGTCTCAGTTATTTCAACAACATTTTGTTCTGATTATTTACCTATTTCCAATTTGCTTTTGTAGATTTGAGATAATGAATAATTAGTCTAATATGGTTAAGCTGCACAGTTGGAATTTTTTACCCAGAAGTTAAAACTTCGCATATAAAAATGCAACTCAGTTTTGAAAAAATAGTATTTCCTAGTTCTGTGTGTCTGCTATGAGCAGCACTCCATTTATTGAAGATTTTCTTTATGGTGATGTATTACCTGTGCTTGAATATAAATATATAAGAAAAATGTATTGGAGCAGGTTACTACCATAGTTAAGTTTTAAAACAGGATTTGTTGGTGGTGATGATATTTATAAAAATAATACAAATTTGGCACTGATTTGTCATTCAAGCAATTGACTATTCACTGAAAATCCAGTGTGATAATGGCCTTCTGTGGTGATGGAATATTGCTATATTGGCTGACTTATGAAGATTTTACAACTGCTTCTCTCTATGTTTTTTCAAATCTTTTTGTCACCTAGTTTCATGTCTTTTGGAATGTTCATTAAGTTGCAGTAAATAGAAATCAGGGTATGTGGTAAATGCTTGTTTTTAAAAATTCAAGATAATAGTCATAAAGAATCAAGTTTTTAGTTTTGTGATCCAATTGCAACAGCAATAGTATTCCTGGGGAATTGTACAATCAAATGATTTGCTTTAAATAAGGTTGAGCCATTCATCTTGGTAACAGCCATGCATTTTTGACAAATTGTTGATAATGAATTATAACAAAATTTCAATGTAAAAAAGAGTGGAGACTTTCATATTAACACCAAACGAAGTCTCGTACTTATTAGTATCTAGAAGTGCCCACAACAAATACCTGAAAAATTCTGTCTGACACGAAAGTGGTTAGACGCTTCTCGCTTGCAACTTTCAATTTTGAATGATTATGCTTGCCTTGGCAAATTGTATAAAAATAAATAATGAATAAAATTGTACATATTTTATGTTTTTCCTACATTCATAGTAACCAACTTTTTTCACTAACATAAAATTGTATAAAAATGTCAGTTCATTGTTTTGTTACCTTTTTCGTATTTTGTTTTTTCAAATTTATAAAATTGAGTCATGAGATTATACAATATACCAAACTAGTGTATAAAGTGTAAAATATATATTGCATGTTTTTATGAATATATTGTTTTGTGAATTAGAAATTCACCGTTAGAAAATATACAAGGATATTCCCATCCAGAGTATTCATATAATGATTCACATATATGTGTGGTTGAAAACGCATATAGTAATTTTGTTACCGCCATCTTAATTTAAAAACATGCTTAAATCTCACTATTTAGAACAGTGGTTCCAAACCTTAATCCACAGAAACATTTTGAGGTCCATTACTCTTCATGCATGAGACAGCGAAATGAAACTAGTCATCATTGTGGTCTCCTTAGAATAATAAGAAAAATTCAAGGCAACTCTGGAAATGGCTTATGTCACTCTAAAATTTTCACCACTTTCTTTGATGAAGTTTAATTAGCCATTGCTCTTTAGCATCTCATCTATGCAGCATCTCATAATTTCCTCCAAATGCAAGGCGGTTTCTGTGTGCAGTTTCGATAGAAGCGTTGCTTTCGGGAGAGAACTTTTATACAACACTATTGATTAGTTCCTTTAAATGTTAACGATAATCAAAAGCTCATAACACTGGAAGGAAAGGTTGGGAACCACTGATTTATAGGATACATAAAAATGCGGTTTGTAAGTTTGGGACTATTTGTCTATATTTCATTTCTTTCTCGTTATAAGGCTGTTGAGGGTAAATGAAAAATTTTTAATGTAAAGTGAAATGTTTGTATTAACAACTAATGCATACACTTCCCAGTTGAAGAAAAGTGTTTAGTGATACGTTATGTATACACTATTTATGATGTGAAAATATAATATAAAATTGAGTTAATTTTGATTATTTTACATAGATTTACTGAGTTCGAATTGCCATACAACAGCAGTTGTGATAGGCTAATAACGACATGATTGTGATTTAGGTATGTTAGAATTTTCAGTAGATTGCATAGAATGTCTGAAACGAGTTTGCTTGGTGTTAGCATATATGAAAAAGTTGCAGATGTTTTGGTGCTCCAGAAGTATGCGCACCAAGATATCGCACAACCGGAATCCTAACCGATACACACATACTATGTTCAGGTTGTGCACCATCTTGGTGCGCATACGAAGTATTCACTTTCTTTCCCATACTTCTTCGCAAATGTACATGGGCCCAAATGTCTGTGGGTAGAAATGAGCATGGATCAAAACGCCTGCGCTAGAAATTTTATTTTTGTGAAGGGAGGAATTGAGCTTTTGGTAATTCGATTTTGTGTTCTGCCTTCTTCAAGGTATGCTTGTTCATTTGCCTCGAAATGTAACAGCTTTTGCATGTTAAACAATAGGGACGGGTACATGTTTGAAAGCCTATCGGGTATATTGGGTTTAGACTGCAACAACTCGTCTACGTAAGACTATTGGAGCCGAAAACCGCAAAAAATAACACACGTCATGCAGGATAGGATAGGATTTACATATTTATCCCGGGGGAGAGGAAAGCCGATAAGACGGCTTATCCATATAGCGAACCACGGCCTCTCGTCCGGTTACCATTCCAAGTCGGGTATGGGATTAGTTATATAGTTTGTTTTCGGAAGCATGGACTTGGTGGTGGAGGAAGCCGTAACCGACCAGCGGTTACGTGAACCACCCAACGACGGCGAGGAGTCCAGCAATTCTCTCGCACATAACCATCCCTGCATGGGATTCGAACCCACGCAGAGTAATTAGAGGTGCGGTGGCGAGCGTATTCCTAACGCTTAGCCCGTTGAGCCACACCGCTGCGCAGGAGATCCTTCACCGATCCCATTATCGGCGTCACCGTACCGGATAGTTACTGCTAATTGTTTGAGAATCGATTTCACGAGATTTTTGTGGCTAATTGATTAAAAATCACGACTTAGTTTTATTATATCGATAGCGATGTTGCTGTCACTTAAGAAGGAGGGTATGGCAAATAAATGAGGTAGGAAGAAAGGAATCGACATCTAGCTAGACCTACTCTCCAGTGTTGAAAACAGACAAACTATGTAGCCTAAGCCCTAAGTCACAAAATAGGGCTTCAGAAGAGCGGCAGCCGCGCCAGACCACAAACAAATTCAAAATGTAGAAACGGAAAGAGACCATCCACCACCGACAAGGTCTGATGATACACATATCACCCCCTACGTGGAGTCGTTGTCTTCAGTCCCGAACCAAAACAAGCGCCCATTTTCTTCACAATATATCCGAATCCTAATCCCAATGGCAAAAACAGCGACAGCCAAAAATAGTCATTACCAAAGCTTTTCAACGGAATTCGTTTACAGCCTGCTTATACTTCCAACCTAACTCTATACAGCGAATGCGCTCTTCAATTACATAATATACTCGCATTTATTTTTTTGTGATGTGATAGTCCAGGTATCTCTGCATTTTGTTTGTTCGTCTACTTCAGGAGCACTGGAAGGTTAGCCCTCAAACCTAACAATGCTTAAGTCTAGATAAGCAATCATAAGGAGCTGCCATGTTTTTGGATGCACTAGTGCAGAGTGGTCCAAGGTTGACGGCCTCGCGGGCCACACTATTATTTTCGTATTGTTCGTGGGCCACAATAGTGCCAAGAATAAATGAACATTGCAATACAAAACAAACGCTTTTATTGTGAACACATTGATCATTATTTGTCATTTATCAAGGTAAAACATGCCAAAACCACCAAAAACTCACTAAAACATGCAAAATCTTACTATAAGATTTCGAACTCTTCATAACGGAGAAAATGTCGTTTTAGATTGTCACCGAGACACTTTGCAGACATATTAAACAAGCATTGTGGTAGCCCCCCATCCCCATATGCAGTCAAACATCTGTTTGCATTGGTCAGTTTTTTTTTCAAACTCATGTTTACAAAATAACTGCAGATTAATCGATTACTGAGTTTTACCAAATTTGAGATACAGGAGAGTAAATACTAAATTTCCTGACAGAAATGCAGCAATTTTTACTGTGTAGGCTGGTTGCAAAATAACAAAACACCCGACAGGAATTATATTGTTCGGCCATTAAACCTGTTAACAATTCAGACTAGCCAAACACTTTATTCAACTCAGCTAGCCTTAAAGGTATATACGAGTACAGTAGGCTATATGCTTTGGCCTTAACACTACTGTAGTCAATTCAGTGACATTCATTAGTGATGTAACAATTAATATGTCGAAAGATTTTTTTGGTTATTTATATGACAAAACAACATAAAATGCAATTTTTTGTTTACCCTCGCACAAATGCGATGCGGGCCACAGATAATAAAGCAACGGGCCACATGTGGCCCTCGGGCTTGGACCACCCTGCACTAGTCTATTGTTTTTCCGATTTTTACGCTATGGACGGCGTGGAGGGCATGGATTTTTGGCCTGGGAACTTTAACTTGCTAATACAACACAGCTTTGTCCAACGCGCTGATCAACATTTCGATTTCGTTACTCAGATTGGCGAGAACGCCTACTAGCGTTTTAAATCTCAATTCAAGGATTGGTCGCTCTTCGGTTACCTGGCCTATATTTGTTGCTGTTTTGTGAGTGTTATAGCATTTATTGGACACGTAGTGGACATAGCGATAGTTTCAATATTATGTTGTTGTTCTTGTTCTTTGACACGTTTTTAAAAAGTCGCTTTTCTTTTTGATTACTGGACCAATTGCTTTGAAATTTTCAGTGGTTGAAGATAAAAATTTTCTTCAGAAGGCTATTACTTTTTTGTTTGCTATGACGTCATCAAAATTTTTGCCATTAGGTGGCGCTACGTGGTCATATATTTGAGCATAGCTCTCTTGTTACGTGAAGGCAAGTACCGGTAATCGAAAAATAAATCTTCATTCGAGGCCAATGTGGAACGAGGCATAAACGTAAAGTGTTGTTGTTGGAACGTGCTCTTTCGGTTACCTGGACTTTATTTGTTTCTGTTTTGCGTGTGTTATAGCATTTATTATGTGAAGGCAAGTGATCCAAAAAAATCTCCATTTCAGGCTAATGTGGAACGAGGCATGAACGTAACGGGTTGTAAGAGCCCGCAATACGTAAACGAAAAACATTCTGATAAAACCAAATTGACTATAAACCAATACAAGTGAGGACATGCATTGGTAACGTTATAAGCGCTCGTGTGACGTCACACCAGCCATTTTGTGTCCAGAGTTTATAGTCACTTTGGATAAAACTACTCAAATGCGAACCTACCTCCGGGCTGGAGGCGTGAATCGCGCTATAAGGCAACCACGCGAATTGATTCGCTGTAACTTTGCACGGCCATTTTTTTCTATCTTTGATACACGGAAGAAAAAAGAAATATTTCTGGGCGGAGCTTGCTTTTTTCTTCGCTGTTGCCTTCTCTCGCCAGTTATCATAGCGGTTAGAAGTGCGCCTGTTGCGCCGCAGTATTTTCGTGCAATGTTTGCGCGTAATGACCATTGATTCACGTAATTAATGGGCAATTACTGATGGAATTGGGTTACGGGGTATTCTGACTGATTAGAAGTACAGGTGTAATCAATAATTCGAATAGTTGATGTAATGCTTCACCAACGAAGCAATCACTGTTCGCGCCTGCAGAGCGCTCTCACATCGGCTCTCTACTTCTATAACAGTACAGTATACAGTAATACAACGTGTCCTAGCGCCATGAAAGACTGACTTCCTTGTAAATCAGCGCATTGGGTATAACGAGTGCGCTGTAACGCGAGAGATAGCTAACGTTGTATGTTCTGTTAGAGAAATAGTACTACTCGTCACCGTGAGCATGCTGTGTGCTGTCAGTTTATAGTATTTCAGACAGTATAGTCTGAATTATTTAAGCAGCATACTAGCTGCTGTACTAGCGATTGTGGTGCAGGCGGGGCATAAATCATACTACTGTACTAATGTCTGAATGCGTAAGGTATTAGTATTAGGGTATAATATTTTATTAGAATTATCATAATATGAAGGGAAATGACCTTCCTCCTGTACTATGTCTAAAATAGTCCAAACATATTCCTGTATTCTGCCATTATTGTAGGTAGTTGAGTTGTATTGGAAATGGGTACTTTCTGATTTTGGCCACAGGTCCAAAACATTTCATGTGGTTCCCAAACCTGATCATAATTATAACTAAGATAAGTATCTTTCCGTCTTAGTGCACAAGAAATGGATAACTCAAGTGTACTTCTAGCATAGTAATCAAAGTGCCAAGTGCCTAAAATACGTTGGTGTTATTTTTTCCTTTTGACCCTATGGAAGTATTATGTCATTAATATTTAATATAATAACCAAATCATCATAGTCAAATGTTTTCACCTGATTTTTAGAATACAACTTAAAACATTGAGCTCAAATCCAATAATTCTTGGATTAGGCCTATCAAATCCGATAATTTTCTGAAGATTGTCGGGTGATGTAGTGACATTGATGCGAAATGCAATGTTGTCTGAAAAGACTGCCATAAATTTCACATTATTAAATGAAGCAAAATGCGAGAAACCCGTCATTTGTGGATAGGAAACCTTGCAGATAATATTCGTGAAGAGCGGATTGCAGAGCACTTCAAAAGGTAAATTTGGTATGATTATGACTCATTGAATTAGTAAAGTTTATACTGAAGCTTTTTTGATTTGTTCTCAGATATGGCAAGATTGACAAAGTCCGTTTCCTGCCAAGACGCAGTGGAGAAACAGGACTGTCTGCCTGTGTTGCTTTCATGGACATTCGATCAGCTCAGAAAGCAAAAAGTGGAGTGAATGTTTTGGGAGATCGTGAACTTATTACAGACTATTTTGATCCAGCCGCTCGCTCTTCATCAGGTGCAGCTGATGAAGGTATGTATTTTTATACAGTGATGTCACAATAGCAGCAGCTTGCATGCCAACGTTTTGCTATAGTTTTTTGTTTGTTATTTTCAGCTCCTAAACATGGCCAGCAACAACAACAACAGCATCGCACCAACCAGACTCGACGATATGAAGCGCATAGAGAAAGGTACGGTATCATTCTTTTTTGTCTTGTGTCATAATCATAGGTTAATGTTGGTGGTGTGAGTTGGTATTCATTGTAAAATACAATTTTCACAGCCGTGGTTAACACTCAATACATAAGGCAACTCTTTATATTGTGGTACTCTTGTATTGTGAAAGTATACGTCCCATGCTCGTATGGTTCGATCACGCGGATTACGTTCTTACTTTATTTTTATCGATTGGATTACACCCCGTGGATTTAGTACAGTGTAGCTGCGATATGTAGTACTGTGCCGACCCATTGGATAGCTCACAGTTCCAGAGGGAAATACAGACAGCAGTTGAATTGGATTTTGTAGTATCTCTGGGATTTCTATGCTTACACTGGATGAACACTTTGGATACTTTCTATGGAGTCTATCACCTTCTTTATGGATTTAAAACCTCTTCAACTTCTCTGCATGATTGGATACAATCACAACAAGAAAACATATTTTGATCTAATTACAGATCTACTCTAAATAACGTTTTGTTATGAATAACTCTACTATGTAATAATTGGTTAATAAGTAATGAAACAATTTCAGAAACATTTTTTCGAAAAGCTACCTTCCAAAAACTTTTTTAAACAAAGTAAAAAGTGGCTCTTAAGTCCTGAGTGTTCGCATCTAGTAGTTTCTTCAGTTTTTCACTATAGTAGTGATTTCTTTGGACAAATTAAATTTAGATATTGCAAAATTACAAAGTTGGCGGTGACTTTTACCATGGACAATATATGCATAAAGTAGGTCATTTTGTAGACATCGTTGATTTATACGCGTTCGGAACCACCAGCACAAAGGCATAGAAGATGGATGATAAGTATTCTTTGGACCAAACGGTAAAAAAAGTATGTTGTATCCAGAATTATACAAAGGAATTCACGATTTTGCTAACCAGATGCAAAAAGCAATGAATCGATTTGGATATAGAGTTAAAATATAGTAATACCACAATTCATTATTTATTTACACTGTTGAATTTAATTGTTTATCATTTTAGAGAAATAAAGTACATCTCGGGAACCAGATTTTATTATTGTTTGTGGGTCAATTGTGACAGAACATTTCAAATTTTAAAATGAAAAAATCAAATCTAAAACTTATTCCGCAGTATCAAAAGTGTCTCCATATCTGGTGATCAAACATACACTGCTAATCAATTATGATTTAATAAAATGAACCTGGTAAAATTTTCATGAGAATTCAGAAATAAAATTGGAAAAATTCAGGTGTAGTATTGTGTTTACACATAGAATACCTTCGAAATAGTAAGCGCTTCATTATTTATGATGCAAATTTTTTTACTTTATGGATTAGTTAGTAGTAAAGTAATTGTCTTGAGGCCCCTTTTTTAATATCAGCTTTAAAAGTCATCCACACAAAGTAGAATCATCTTCTTTTCCACAGGCGTCAACTTTAGGTTCATAATTATAAGCATTTTACCTACGCATTTGAGAGATTTACATCTGATATTGTGATAAACAGAAAATCATTTAAAACAATCTCATTTCAAATATTCTACATTAACAACACCATATTTCTATCAGTTGGCATTGATTTCTGTAATTTTTTTCATTCACATACCCCATTAGAATATATTGTCCATATTGATGGCATGTAGAATTGTTTACAAACTAAGAACTGCTTCATTTAAAAGTGAACAAAAGTGAGTTCTTTAATGCGAAATATTAGTAAGCCAATTGGCTAAGTTATGCTAGTTCACATTAGCTTTACTGTTTTGGAGTTCCGATTGAATAATTCCGAGTGAATAATTAGGCACTTTGCAAATGCATAAATTCTAACAATCGCTGTCGATCATTTGCAAATAGTAAATGAAAATAGAAAGATTTGTTTTGGAATTTCAAAGTTTCTGGATTCAAATGAAAGTTTACCAATTGTGTGAAAACTGATGGGGAACCTCTTTTCTGAAGGCATCCTGGCAACTCCTATATTCAGCGCATGTTTCAATGAAGATGCTTCCATTATCAGGAAATATACCTGACATTTTTGAACAACTACGCATATGCATCGAGAATATATTGAATGAGAGAGGATATTCAGTGTGCAACTTTCCACTCAGAAGATGAATCCTATTTGTAGAAGCAGAAAATGAAGGAAAATGCCTTGAAGCCCTGAATTTTGTGATCAATGGAGAAGACCCAGAAAATAAGCTATTTGTAATGCTCGTTGAAAAATTTATCTGTTAGCTTAAAAATAAGTTATTATGAAATAATTGTAAATAGGAGACTGTAAGGTATAAAACCTGTAGATTAACAGCTGATATAGATTTTAGAAATTTTTAGAATGATTGATAAAATTATTTTCGTCCCCAAGTCACTTTTGATATAGGATTTTATTACTCCATTTGTCTCCATATCACTTAGTTACACCAATCATAATTATCATATCTAACTCACCACATACACACAAACTTCAGCTTTATACAAAATAAATTCATGCAAACACAATATAATTATCCATTCAGTGCATATTTTATGTATGGGATAATTATACATGGCGACTCAAAAGCTGACAAATATCGTAATCTGACTAGAGCTGCTTCCATGACAGATCAATAATACACCCTTCTGCTCATTTATTTGTGATGAAAAGCCCATTTGAAGGGAAACAATCAAATATGCACAGATGTTTACTATAGTGATTACTGGTTCAAAAGTATTTCTCAACGGTTCCATTACATTTGAACCCACAACAATTGCACCTGCATACTATTACACCTATAGAAATTTGCACCCATACTAACCCTCACTCATGGATTTTAGCACCTGCATATAGATTGAACCCGCGGATATACAGGTGCAAATATATGGGTTCAAATGTACGTGGATTCGAATTTGCTGTCACCTTTTTCAACACCTTTATTAGTAGGCAATCAATTGGTTTGTTTTAATAGGCTGTGGGTCGGTATATAATGATTAAAATTTCCCGCTAACAGCCAGGAGAAAAATTGCATTCGCCATGCAAGTTTATGAAGTTTGACAGTCCAGATGTTTCAAGGAGAATTAGCTCACATATTTGGTCAAATTCCTCCGTATTGTGGACATGCTAGTTGAACTTTGATTCCGAAGGTCAATGGGTCAGTTACCATGAAATTCTGTATGATAATGGGAAGTGATGGACTTGGTTATTGCACTGGATATGTCGTAGATTCAACGATCGTTTCATGGACCGAGAAAAATGAAAAACTCATGTCCAACATGATTGCCGTGATAAAGAAAACACGGCACAGCATGTCAGGTTTCTTTTTTTATAGATTCCGCATCACGTACGTGGCGTAGTTGACGTGTAAAAAGTATAATATTCCTTTTGATCAGAAAAGCGGCAAACGCGTTGATTCAATGCGCCGCGGGACAAGCAGACAGAAACATATCAAAACTTTCTTTTGAAAAGGTGCCTCGATCGCAACATTTGTCTGTTTGGGTGTGCGCATGATTTTCACGCCTCGCACATCCGCGACAAAACACTACTGAAATGATGCGTTTTGTTTGAAAAGGGTCGTTTTGTTTTCGTTGGCGTCTGCGTAATGGAAAATTACAGAAGAGAGAACGAGGTTTCACATCGCGTTGCAAGCGTTGATGCTGCGTTTTACGACCGCGTGTTCATGAGATTGCCTCGTGTTTTGGGTTGCCGTTATTCAACGAACACATCACGTGTGCTAAAGTACTAAGATGACTTACTTTTAACAACAAATAATACACATTTTCTCTTTCCTTTAATTCGTTCATTGATTTTACACATTAAGTTTTCACATCTTCACGAAAATATGATTACCGAAACGTTTTCGATTCATGATTACACAATTTTATGTTGTTATCATATTATAGGATTTTATGCTTTCACATGATCTATTATTCATTTTGTATATATTAGGAGTGTTAATAAATAGGCATTAGGAAAATCCTGAACATAAGTGGTCACATGTTAACTCCCTAGACATCCATTTAAATAACATCTGCTACAGTCATAATTAGTTTAAAACAATTCAAAACATACCCAAAGGTAGTTGACATCCATATATTTTATTGATGCAAAAATATTGTGGTAGTTTTATAAAAATGGGTATATGGTGCACATGTGTGTACAAGCTTAGCACACAGGCCACAGATTCATCATATAGCACAAACTAAGACTTTGTATTAAACGGTCAAAAACCATCAAAAAACTGTGTGTTCAAGCTTAGCATTAAAGTCACAAATTCATGATATAGTCAAAATTGAGACTTTTATCATATCAACAAGAATTTTAGCTTTAATATGTAAGAAGGTTCATGTTTCAATGTTCAGAAACACATCTTTATGACATTCAGTTGATGCTGGATTTTTCATTCAAGTCACTTCATTTTGAGTATGCTCGTATTTCGGATATGCCGAGAATATTGAGAACGAAGATATATAGCCTCAGTTTTATGCCCAAATCCCAAATTTAACAATATATTCAGAAAACCATGATACTCATTGATCACGTTTTGTAATGTTCTATTTATAATGAACAGTGTAGTTTGGTTCACGGCTTTCCCATTTTGTTTTTGTCTGCCATTTTCAGTTTACTTAGCCAACATGACTTAATTCTTTGAAAATTTATACAAAATGAATTTATAGATGGTCTTTCGCACGAGCATTTCTCCAGTCTAGGCACTGTTTATTAATGAAAATTTGGTCATGAAGCATAAACAGTGATGAATAATTTAGTTTGGTCATGTATGGGCGTACCTCAAAAAATTAATATTTGAAAATGGTGTTGCAGGTAAATCCTGTCTTAACACCTTTTAAATAAATTAGCTTAATAAGTAGATCAGTAAAGTCATGATTATTTAATAACAAAAATTGATCGTTTAATCTGATAGTGCTGTTGTTGGGGAAGAAAAACCTGGATATGGCGACAGATACAGCAGAGATAGACAAGCATCTTATGATAGAAGTTATCAGACGTCGAATATCCAAGCTGGTGGAACAGAAAATTATGACAGTGACAGTAGAGGGAGAATTGAGGGAAACATCAAAGTCAAGTCAAGATCTAAGGGTTCTAATTCTTCTGCTAAAGCTTCTCACGATCCATCTAGGTATGTATAATAATGATGCTGAGGATAATAATAATTATTGTTAAATATTACACCAAATTAAGCAGGTTGATTGAAAAATATAATTTCTTTTGGATTATAAGTGAGAGCAGATCAAATTTAATATAATTAACCTTGGATATCAAAATTATCAGCACAATATATGTCTTTATATATGTAGTGTTAGTAAGATTTGGCTTGTCTTTGATTGCAGTTCAGTGCAATGTTTGAAAATGAAATGGGGCAAAGTGCATATCTTGTTTCTGATAATGGGCCAAGTTTGACGTTTGTGATATAATCGTGGGATGCTTATTACTTATTTTTCAGCAAAAAGCACAAAGCTGACTCAGCCAAAAGTGCAAAAAAGAAATCTAAAAAGATGAAGGATGAAGATGGCAGGCAGAAACAAACTGGACCTAAGAAAAGTATGTTTATAGTTGGGGGATAATATTGAAGCTCTCATTTCATTAAAATGGAAGTCTGGGACTTAGTACACAAATTGAGTCTTGGGTTATGTTTAGACATGATATCACCAACTGCATTCTCTCGTTCTTTTTTTCGAAATGAAAGTAGTTCATAAGTAAATGTTATTATAAATAAGTCCCACTGTGTACCTTCTTGAAATATTAATATGCTTTTTATAGTAAAACAAAAGCACGCTAAAGAAAGGGGAAGATCACCCACTGTCAAGCGTAAGAAATCTGCTAATGCTTCGACAAGTCCAGGCGGTTAGTAAGCAATGATAAATAACAGTGTGATACAGTGCACCATAAAAGTTTAATTGGTAGGCCTACCTAAATCTGTGATTGTTCTGTGAGCCATTGTTTGTTTAGAGAAGTCATTTAATTAAAATTTGAGTGAATTAAAAATGAAGATTTTTAGCAATTCATGAAACTTAAATTGGCCAACCAACAGTTCTAATGACATCATGAATAATATAAAAATATTATTATATAAATAAAGACTGCTATACTCCTTAAGTTTGAATATTACCAGCAAATAGTTAACAGTTAATTGATGCTTGTTTTTTAAGATAATAAGCTGGATTTTCATTATATAAAAGGTGGTAAAAAATCTGGCAAGCTTGGAGCAGGAAGCAGTAGTGCTGGCAGATCTTCGTCAAGTGGTTCTGTAAGTATGAGTACAAGTGGAAGTGGAAGAACATCTTCGACATCGTCAACCTCATCTTCCGTTTCGGGAAATTCATCCAGAACGAGAACCACCACCAACTCTGGCAGGTAGGATCCTTGATGGGTTTTTGTTTGTTACAATATAATTTTTACAAATATTAGTTTTGAAGTTAGTTTAATTTGTGTTTAACTTGTTTGCATATTGTATTCTTATATTGGACACATAGTAATAAGGGATGTTTTACATTTATGCTTACACTTTAGTGAATCAAGCTACGAGACTGAAGGCCCACCAACACATCAAAAGTTAGTTGCAATGTGTATAAAGAAACTTCCGGTCAGGCCTACAGGTATGTTTTTTAACTTTATATGTATGCCAATTATTGTATTCGAAATAAACTAAAAATGAGCATGTCTTTTTTCTGACTTGGTTATGTTCAATTTTGTTCACAAATGTGTCTTTATATAGATCCTTCTAATTACTAATAGTATATTTACAACATCATTGCACCATTCGTTATTATACATCGACATGCGACATCTCTGTCAAAGTTGTTGTTCCTATCAAAATCAGAGCATAAACGATACTAAAGCACATTTAATTTTACTATTGTACAACTTTTGGATGAATTCTGTTGGTCCATTTTAGAAGTAAACGATCACCAACTTTATGCAACAAAAAATATTCTCTCGCCAATATGATATTGGAATTTAAGATGCTCATTGAAAATAAAATATTCGAAACACAAGTCCTTAGCCACGTTCAAGTAGGCTTTCGGGCTAGACAGGCAATCGCTTGCTCTTGGTTGTTTTATCAGACGTTTCAGTAAGTTTCTAAATGAGAGAATAGAAGGGTAAAAGGGATTTTTTCTTCTCACAGTCTCAGTCATGTGATTTGTGGTCACATGTCTTTTTTTGTTATTATTCTCTCCTTTTAAAATATGCACGTTGACATTTCGTAGGTATTTCCTATAACTTTATATAACACGCGATCAATCGAATTAATGGCGCGCAGAGTTTGATCGTTATTATCGATATAAGGCAAATAATTTCAATACCAGTATAACACAACTCAAATATTCGACGGCCCTGCGGCTAATCTGTGTAGTTTTATTTGAAGACTGTGCTGTATAAATGCGCAAGTGCACAAAAGATCATATCAAACTGGATTAAATGCTGTATTATGTTATCTATGAAATTACATAATCAAATTTTATATAAGACATTTTCTAATGACTCAATTTAAATTTTTAATTTTATAATCTAATCATTAGCTCGAGATATTTATACTAGTAGTCAAATGCGGTGTTCTGCAATTAAAAACACACAATGTAAATTGATCATTAAACGTTTTTTTAGTCACAAGCTTGAGAGATGGTGTTTTCCACGAGTTCAAGAAGTATGGAAAAGTTAAATCTGTGCTTATTCGAGGAGAAGGGGTTGATCGACATGCACTGGTCCTGTTTCGAACTGCAGCTGAAGCAAACAAAGCTGTCAGTCATGCAAAAACTAAACTCCTCTTCGGTGCTGCGATTGAAGCTAGCATTTATGAGGGAGAAGGTGGGTCAAGAATGTGATAGTCTAAGGCAGGGGTGTGCAACATGCGGCCCGCAATGAAAAATTGTGCGGCCCGCCGAGAAGTGCAATTTTGAATGGTGTGCGGTCGCGAAACAAGTTTTAAATTTATTTCAATCAGGTACCTGCGAGTAATTTCAATCCCTTAGCGCAGGGGTCGGCAACCTTTTGTCGCTCGCGGGCCAAAATTAAAGGTAGCAAGTCATTGGCGGGCCGCACATATTTTTAGAATGTTAAAAATCGAATGGATGGCCGATGAATCACATTTTATCACACAGATCAGAAGTTAAATTTTTAAGCAGCGCACGAAGACTGACCATTTAAATATCTTTTGAACCAATAAACTATTTGCACTTAGCATCAACTTTTCTGTGCTTTGTTGTCATTTGTCTAAATTATAATTAAATTATAGGCTCAATAAACGAGTAATTTTGATTTATATACTTGTTACGTTATAATATAATTTAGTCTTCACGTAAATTATTTTGCGTAAAGAATATAATCGACAAAACAGCTATAATTTGTTACTATGATAAAGTGAAGCGTCGCGGGCTGGATTATATTGCTCCGCGGGCCAGATCGGGCCCGCGGGATGTAGGTTGCCGACCCCTGCCTTAGCGTTTATAGCCTATACTTTAGTTCAATTTATCATCCATGCCCATGACGTTATAATTCCCTAACAGCTAGCTTGTGCGAAGTGAACATCCAAAATTTTGCCTGCAACTACTAGAAAGCCTATGTTAAATAAAGGTGCGGCCCGCTGTTTCACCCAGTTATTTGTATCTGGCCCTCCTGTATTAAAGGTTGCACATCCCTGGTCTAAGGCATTTTCACTCTGAATAAAGCTTTGAAAGCCTTTTTGTCTGTCATTGCCTACCCAATTCGCAATTTAAGAGATTACTAATTTGTGATGCTGTCATATCTTCCTTTCCCTTACAATTAATCTCGGTTATTTGTTTCTTGATTAAAAAAAAAATGAATGTAAATGGATCTAATAAGTAATAACACATATGGATTTGAAAAAAAAGGAACGCGCGTTATTAAGTGTATTGGATAGTTCATATTATTGATATTACCAATAGTCTAGGATAGTTTCTTTCGAAAAAATATCATTTTGAGCATTTTCAGTTGCGTAATAACACTAGGGCTGGGCATTTTCGAATACCTTGTGATTTCAGAATCGAATCGAATAATATTTTTCGAATCGAATCGAATCTCGAATACTTGAAAATATATAATTGTAAGCGATTTTATTATAGTAATTGGTCCTCTCAACAAATGAATTACCGAAGACATAGAATAAATCACCCAGATAGATTACTGAGCGCTCACACAGAATAACAAACACGTTTTATCAATAACTCACTACAGAAAATAGTCATATGTTAGAATTTCATTGAAAAGATATGACTCCAATGAAAATAAAATTGGGGAATTCACCTCGACCATTAGCGGAAAGATAAAAACAAGATGGCGACGATTCGAAATTTAGCTCTGAATCGATTCGAATAATTTACTATTCGATTCGATTCGAAATGCCCAGCCCTAAATAACACCAACATGGCCGTTTAATTTTTGTAAACTGTAAAAAATAAATCAACAAGACCTAAAAATATATCTTGTAGATCTAAAATTGATCTGCATCTTGGTTATTTTCCACTTGTATAGCTAGATTTTTGTTTGGTTTTCAGTTAGTGGACAAGAACTCGAAGAAGGTGGTGGTATCATTGATGAATTTCATCCAAGAGCATCACGAACTCTCTTTGTTGGTAACCTCGATAAAACAGTTGGATACAGTGACATTCAGAATATATTTATTAGATTTGGAGAAATAGTGGTAAGTTTGACGGAATTTTAACATTTTTAATCGGGAATGTATATACAAGTAATAGGGCTTTAACTTATTTGAAGAGCAATTACAGATTTGTATGTTAACCGTATCTTATTCTCTTATCATGTCGATGCCATAATTGCAGATATTCTGGTGCTCCAGAAGTATGTGTACCAATATCGAGGTAACTAATTTTGTTCACCCACTTTACATCAAATTGTGTAAAGGGACAGAAGCCTATGGGCAGGGGGTATATTCACTTGGCTAACACAGACAGTTCTCGAACTCGTAATAGAACTAAAATAAGGAAAAACGGAATAAAATTATGGCTTAACCCTAACCTGGTACACATACTACGGGAGTACCGATATTCCTCAATAATGACAAGCTGTGTTTATGTTTTATTGTTTTAGGCCTGTAATCGTATATTTTTGAAATATAAAAACATTTCTAATTTTTATTTACAGGCGATTGAAATTAAAAAACAGCACAATATACCCCAGTATGCTTTTCTGCAATATACAGATATTCTCAGTGTGATAAGGGCCATTACAAAAATGGATGGTGAAAAATTGGGTCGAAACACGCTAAAGGTATTATTGCTCAGGAGTTTATTCGGTTGATGATATGGTTATATTTTCTCTGTAAAATTCCCCTTTCTCATTTCCAGTTTCACAATCTGATGTAACGACAGGGTCTTCATTATTCAAAATAATTCAGAATAATTTCATTCGAATAAATATCGTTTATCTTACCAAATTTGAACTCATCGAATGTGTATTTTTCGCTAAACATGATCTAATTTGAAATATCTTAATATTCTATATTTGAAAATACTATATTAAATGTAATCATGGTAGTTTATTAGGATATTTGATTTTCTTATACAACAGGAGAAATATTTTTCTGTATAAAACCAGAAGTTCTTCAAGTTAATTGTCACTGTGTAGAATTCTAATGTTTTATTTTCTATTTGCCCTGGCATTGCTTGACGTTCTCGATCTGTTGATACCAATATTTTTTAGCTTGGATTTGGTAAAACCGTCATGTCATCTTGCCTTTGGGTTGATGGAGTTACAGACAGTTTCACAGAAAATTATCTGGCAAGCTGCTTTCAGAGGTAAAGTTTGTTTTTCATGACTTGTATTATCTGATATGAATTAGTTAAGTATTGTAAAATAATATATTCTAAATATATCAGAAATTTTGTTAAGGGAAATTTCAATTTTGGCAATTTCAATCATGGGAGCATTCCAATTTACTTAATCTTATTCTATGGATCTTATTTGAATGTTTAACCCGCAGTGATTTTATTTAAAGAGTCTGTGTACTAAGCTTTACATCCAAACAACATGACAAATAAAATATTTTCTATAATTCCTCATTGTTTCAGGTATGGTCCAGTAAAGCATGTCGTCATCGATCGAAACCGCGGCCAGGCTCTTGTATTTTATTCCCAATTTGATTTTGCTCAAAGTGCGATGGCAAAAATGAGGGCACGGATACTAAATGGTAGTCGTCTTAAAATGGATTATGCCAGTAATGAACTGATTGATATTTTTCTAAAACACATGCAAACGTCTGGTCAAAGTATTAAGGGACTCGAAAACATTAGACAGTTGATGCAACCTGCTTCGTCTCCTCCATCATCGTCCATGCAAGGGCCTGGATCGTCTTATTCTCGTGCATCTGTATCTCAGGATACGAGACAACAATACTATGATGATCGTTCACAATCAAGTTTTGGTGACGACCCATATGGATCCACTGATCCCAATTATCGAAGAGGTTGGCGAGGACGAAGTAGGGATCGATATCAGTATCCTCCCGATCAATCGTCTCGACATGGTAAAAGAAGTTATGAGGACTCATATGAAAGGCAAGATTTTTACAGGGAGCGTTCACCACCTGCCTGGGAACACGATGGGTATAATGAGAGGCGAACGACTGTATCTTCCCATTATGATCAGGATTACAGACAGAAGGATTATGATATCCGCCGTGAACCTCGTACATATAATAGAAAGTCTGCTCGCGGAAATGTTCCGTATGATGAAATGTTCCAGGGTGGTTATCGAACTTCAAGAGATCGAGGTAGAGAGGGAGATAGAGAAAGAGAGATAGAACACGTAAGAGACCGTGATCGAGTGGGCGAACAATATTATAATCGCGCTGCTCATTCATCTCCAGTACATCCTCGCTATGTATCGCACAGAAGTCGAAGTATTTCTCCACAACCGAATGTGGGACAGCGTGATGCAGATACATATAGCACAGAAAGAACAGTGACGTATCGAAGAAGGGGTCGAAGTGGGAGTCGATCTCCTGACCTCTCGGTTGATTCTCTAAGAAGACGCAACTCGATGGAAAGTAAATCATCCTCTCATTCTGGATCCAGGTATACATCTCGAACTGGGGATATTGATATGAGAGAGAATATGTCAATACTCATGGAAGGAGAAGACAAATTGTCCATCAACAGTCCGATTGGAGAAGTTGAATTCAATGAAAAACAGAAAAAGCTGCGTGTCCGAAAAAGAGTAATAGAAGAATCACCTGTGAGAGATTTGAGCGATTCATCACCAAAACCTCACCGGCGCCTCGGATATAAAAATTCGGCTTCTGAAAACGAGAAGGCCTCATCTTCATATCGTAATAAAGAAGACAGGAGAATAGTTGAAGAAACTCAGTGGGCGTCGGAATCACCAACTTACTCTGATAATAGAAGTCGAAGTGGAACTCCCACTCGTGATGAAAATCAAGACTTGATAGGTGAAGTTATCATTAAGCAACCTTCTTCATCGAAGTCTAGTCATAGAATTGTAGAAAAAGCATCTCGAACCAAAGAAGACTCCAAGCAACGCTCTGGAGAGCGCAAGGACAAAAACAAGCCCCATGATAAAGATTATCGAAAGGGGTTCACAGCTTCAGATGAGATTCGCAAATTGGACAGCGCTGTGAAAGGTAAAACTGGTCGTTCCAACTCTGCATCTCTCATTCAAAGGGTTCATTCCCCTTCTGAATTAGAAAGAAAAACGAGTGCAATTTATACAAAAGATTTTGATTATCGTAAACACAGTGTGGTTCGTTCTTCAAAATCAAGCGGAGATGTTGTGTCAAAACACTCATTGAAAATCCCATCAAAGCATGACGAAGCAAGTGAAAAAATCAAGCGTTCGAAACTTCAAAGTCATGTAAGAAGTCCCAGAGCGAGTTCTGAATATGGTGACGAGGCAAAAAACTCTCCACTTTCTAATTCACCCGCTTCTGATCAGCCGAGGCGTCGATTGTCCAGTTCATCAAAGCTGTTAAAAAGGGAATATTCACCAAGACCCGATGATATGCATGAACCATATTCCGAAAAATATTCGAAAACTGACAATGAAAAGACAAGAATTGTAAATGAAAAACAGAAACATTTAAAAGATCGAGTCTCCAGTAGTAGAAGCAAGGAAAGAGATGAGGAAAACATAGATGTCGATGAAAGAAGATCTTATTCTCAAAAAAGACGACATTCTGCTGGAGACAGTGACAGTGAAGGTGGATTAACAACAAACTTATAATTTTTATTAATAGACTGGTATGGCTCAGGGCTGGGGTGTGCAACCTGCGGTCTGCAAGGAAAAATTGGGCGGCCCTCGGAGATGTGCCAATTTGGCATAGTGTGCCCTAGAGTTTTTAATCCAGTTTAATTTGGTATGTGCGAGTGATTCCAATTTTGTTACGTTGCAACGCCTATACCTGAGTTCAATTTATTATCTATGCCTATGACGTTACAATGCCCTAACAGCTAGCTTGTGCGAAGTGAACAACGCATGTCATAAGATCAATAACCAAAATTTTTGTGCCTGCGACTACTAGGAAGCTTATGTTGAAAAAAGATGCGGCTTGCGGTTTTATCCAGTTTATTTATATCTGGCCCTCTTGTATTAAAGGTTGCACACCCCTGGCTTAGGGTGGAATGAATAAATAGATGGTTTGCTAAAATCAAAAACATCTGTAAAATTGAAAAACTTTCCTTATTCTGAATTCACATAACTATTTAATTATTGCGATACAGTGAAATCATAAATTGCTATGTAATGAAACATAACAGAATGCTGATAATGAGAAAACATTTTGAAAATTAAAAAAAAAAATACTTGTCTGACTTTAATACTTTTCAGTTGTATTTGAAATCCAGACTCTCATTTTTTCTATTGTATATTGTTTATTAGAAATGCACACAAAACGTGATAGAAAATCCTCAACAGGAGATCATGCTCGACATAAGATGTTATCACAGAAACACGAGGCACCAATGTCCATTGCACGCCAAATGTTTCTTCAAGAAGAAGACGTTGAATCTGGGGCAGAAAGTCCGCTGCACGTTAAAGATGGCAAATCAAATGTTATTGATGAAAAAGTTGAGGTTTGACATTTTTCGTTAATCTAATAATGAATAAATATAATTAATTCGTAAAAGATGGATGCTAAATTCATTGAGGTAGAATATTACATATACCTATTTATTTATTTTATTTATATCATTAATAAAATAAAATTGGACTTCAAACAAACATACAGTAGGGATCTGATTTTTTGATTAATATTACACTTTGTGATTAGAATTACACACATTTTGTGCTGTGCTCATTTCAGTCAGTTTTAATTTTTTATCTTTAAATATTTCATATTAAAATTGTTTCAGAGGAGAGATGAATCAGAAACAGCTGAGCAAGACCAAAAAGATGAAAATCCATCTGAAGATTCACCAACTTCTGATTTCTCAAGTGCTAAGCTTGCTGTTGCTCAGTCCCTGCTTCCGAAACGTCTCCCTAAGAGCGTTCCAACAAAAGAAACAGAAAAAACTTCACCGGCCGTTGAAGAAAAAGTCGAAAAAAAACAGTCACAAGATGGCAATTTGACTGATTTAGAAAAAGAAAAAGAAAGATTACAGCAGTTATTGTCCAAGCTTGATTCAGAGAAACACCTCGATGTGAAGGCAGCTGCAGAGGTGGCTGATGTTGTGTTGCAAGAACTGACTCAAAAAGCAAAGTCCAAAATTCTTGCAACAAAAACATTGAAAGATGTTTCCATAATAAAAGATTCTGTTACAGAAAAATCGGAAAAAATATCCACGGAACCTTCAAGTAGTAACGACCATGCGCAGGAAATCAGGCAAGAAGAAAACGAAACCTATGAAGATGTCACATTTGAAGAAGAAGTTGTTGTTGATACAATAGAAGAAGTCATGGAAGATGAAGTTATCGAAAGTGAAATTGAAGAGGTTTCTGTCATACATGAAGAAGTGGAAGATCAAGTAGAAAATCCCCCTGAAAACATCGTCTCACAACCTGTTACAATTGATGTACAAGTACCTGTCCCAGTCGTTCCTGTGATAACAGCTCCAAAATCTGAGAACATCGACAATTCACAAGGATATCGTAAGCAAATGGAAGCAAAGAAAAAAGAATCGGAACATCTTGAGAAAAAACGAGAACACAACAGAAAAAAACTGATGAGAAAGCAAGAAAAAGAAAAGAAAAAACATATAAAGAAAGTGTCGGCTATGCGAGGGCCTAGCCAAACCGTTATCAGTTCAGTTGATGATGGAGAGGACGATACGGCTTCACCAGAAGAAACTGAAGATTTATCAAATCAAGATGAAACATCACAGGAAAGCGCAAATATCACAAAACAGGACGAGAAAGATACAGAAGGAAGCTCCTCACAGGATCAAGCATCAAGCCAGGGTGTCGAGTCTAGTAACGTTGATTGCAGTGGAGAAAATTGTGAACCATTAGATGCAAAGAAGTCTAAAGTAACAGAGCCAAGTGGTGAAGACAAAAAAGACACGCAGAATTTGGATTTACAGAAACCGTGGCCTCCTGACAAACCTGGTGATGAGAAAGTTACTTCCGCTTCGCTTGAACAAGCCAACAATCCCAATTCTGATATTAACGAAAACAAAGAAATTACTCCAAATCCGGTTGATGCAAATTTACAAACAGCAGTGGTTGAAGATGCAAAAAACACAGAAAATAGTGAACCTGTCCCTGGAAAGACTATTTCACCTTTGACCCCAGGTAGTGTTGGACCTTCACCCATGGTCACCACACCTCAGCCCGTCAGTAAAAATCCTTCTCCACAAAGTGCGGGGCATGGTATAACACCAGGGTCACTCGCAAGTTCTTCATTGTCACAAAAGTCGTCACGCAACACACCTGCGACTACTCCATCAACTACTCGAACACCTAATTTCACAACGCCATCTCCCGCGTCTACATCATCTACGTCTTCCTCGAAATCTCAGAACAAGCAACATCAAACTAAAAACGCAGCTCCCATCTCTTCTCATAGACAGTCTGGTCAAGTTCCTTCACATTCATCAAAAAAGCAGAGTCACCATAGCCGGTCAGATCCGCATGCAAGGTAAGATATATGAAATCACGAATCAGTATCAAAATTAATTTATAATTTGTTGTGTTCGATCTAAGTTTTTGTTGCTGATCGTGTTGGGGTTGTTAACTTCATCCTCGTCTGACTTCATCTTCTCTTATAACTTTAAGTACAGTGTTTTTAATATTTTCTATAACATTAAGTACAATTTTCACATTTGGCTAAGATTTCTCTGACAATATAATAGCCATACTGATTATTTCAACCTTTATGTCTCTTGCCTTTAAATCTGTCTTTCTTCAGTCTTGATAAATAGGATCATGCAACAATGTTAATATTGAATTTAGGAATCGTGGCAGCCACAGTTCTGCATCTGATTACAAAAGAAAAGGAGGTCACCATCATCACCAACATAGAACGTCATCTTCCTCACACAGTTCAAAGTTCACATCGGAAAGCTCAAAGATGAAAAATATCATTCCTATTTCCAGAAGACCAATGGCAAGCATCACTGTGGGACTTGATGCAAGTCCATCAAAGGTATATTAATAAAAAAAAAAAATAATTTTAAATTATTTTTCATGGAATATTCTTTTAAATCTTTTCTCGTTTTTAAGCCACTGGGTAAAAGTGAATTGGAAAGATTAAAAATAGAGTTGGAATCGGTGAAAAATCAGTTAAATTTGGAGATGTCACCAAGTTCGTTATCACCATGCTCTGAAGATGAAGCAGCTGTCGGAAAATCGCCTGCACAACTTTTATCTCCTGTCAGTCCTGTTCTCAGAAGCCCAGCAGACATGCCGGTGAGTATTTTGTCATTAATTGTGTTACACGCTTCACACTTTACATGGAATCATTGTTTGTGTAGTATAAATTTCCTTCAAAAGTTTAACATCTCATTTAATATACTTTACCAAGGGTCATCTTATGAAATCGTTTATTTTTTTAAGGTGTCAAGAAAAGTGGATACTACACCATTAGCTAACACTCAATCTGGAGTGAGCCCAAGTAGTACTCCAACATTGACAGATCGCTTGAAATTGATTGGTCGAGTAAAGAAACGTACACCTGGCTCAACACCTTCTGTCAAAAACGAAGTCACTCCTGTTCAAAATTCTAACCAAAAGCCTGATGAGATCCGCCAATCTCGAATATTTAGGTAATTTTTAGGAGTATTAGGGACATTGATTTAGGTAGAACTGGTAAATTCATATATTTTATAGAGGTTTGTGAATCTTTTTGAGATGAATGAAAGAAACTATAGTTTTATACAAATTCGTATCTTCATTGCTTTTTTTAAAATTTGGCATAGATCAGAACTTCAAATGCTTCATTTTATGGTAACGGATGTTTTCTGGCACCACTTTTAAATAACAATGATATTACAAAATTCATTTGTGAATTAAATATGATACTCGTTTACTGGAAGCAAAGCTATTAAAACTATGATTTCTATGTTTTCAGGTCAAATATATTTGATCAAGATTCTGAAAGGTTATCTCATGTTCGTCGACAACTTGAAGAAGAAAAAAATGCAGATCAGAAGGCAATCCCGTTTTCTAGTGGAGTTCCCTTATTTGCCGGATCGAAATTTCTTGAGCAAAGTCCAGCAGTGAATATTTTAAGTAGTTCTGGTTCTCTGAATATCGCTCAGTCTTCTCTTTCAAAAGAAACAAATGATAATTCAGCTGTTTCAATGTTATCTACTTCAAACTCTTTGCCAGCCCCCGTTGACGTCGATGTTGCATCCCGCCAACTCCCACTTTCTTCATTAAGTGGGCCAAAAAACGTGTATTCTCTCAGCAGCTCTGAACTTCCCGCTACTGCTGAGAGAAAAGCACACGATTTTGCCGGGAAGAATTGCAATATTATTGTAGAGAATAACGAAGACAAGAAACATACAGAATCTGATGATTTGCAAGTCGAGGTTCAACATCTACCAGCTTTTTCTAATGATTTTACAAATAGTAATGTAGGTGTACGAGATCCATCACCATCGATGCTAAAATCTGAAGATCAAACTGTCTCGGATTCTACGTCTATCACAGAGGCAGGTGATTTTGCTGAAGAAACATTTATTTTAGACATACCAAAACCAAAATTAGAATTAAAAGAAAATGAGAATATTGCACTGAATGAAAAATCATCTTCGATTTTGCATACAAACTCTGAAGTTTTAGACGTTGAACCTGCTAAGGTTGAAATGACTGAAATTGATCAGAATCCCAAAACTCTTGCTGCTATTTCATCCATCGCTACGCAGAAAACTGAAAATATTGAAACTGCGGAAAAGGACCCAAAATTTGGGGAAAAATCTGATTCGAGTGTAATTGAAAATGAAAACCAACAACAGAATATAGCCACTGAAGCTGATGTAGTTAAAGATGAAATTCCAGATGCCTTATCTGGTATTGTCACAGAAGACGGAAATGATGATCACTATCTAGGTGAGATAGTAGGTGACATGGATGTTTATGCAGGTAGTTGTATGGAGATTGAAGAAACTTGCGCTGAATTAGAAATTGCGGAAAATGATGATGACATTGTCATGGATGTATCAGAAGCTGGTGGAAGAGAGGAATTTGAATCAGAGGCAAAAATCATTGAGGATCAAAAAAATGATGCAGATTTAAAAGAACCTGTGAAAAGTAAAACTGAAAAATCAGAATTAACTGAAGATATTTTGTTGCCTGAAGCCAAAATTATAGACAAACCAACATCTACTGTTGTCGAAAAGGATGAAACTACAAAGGAGATAAAATCAGATGAAAATATTGATAAAGAAAAAACTGAGGATTTATCTGATGAGAAAGTAAAGACCGAAACAAAAGTTAAAAGCGAGCGCAAACAACAAAAAGAAACTATATCTAAGGAAAAAGTAGAACAATCAAAATCAGTTGAAAAGGGTACATCGGCCTTCAAAGAAAAGGTTAAGGCGAAAGTAAAACATGCAGACAAAACTGTCAAAATTCCCCATGATAAACAGGAACATGTTAAAGATGTTACGAAGTCTGACAAAATTGTGAAACATAAGATGAGTTCTGAAAGTACCGTGAGTAAAAACACCGGCGAGCTGAAGAAAGAAAATCCTATTGTTGGAAAGAAAGATCAAGTTGGGAATAAGAAGCCTAAGCACGATATAATAAAACATAAAACTTCAAAATCTGCCGATACAAAACCAAAGAGTGATGTAGTTTCTGCAGAAAAAGCAAAATCGGATAAAAGTAAATCCAAATCCCATTTTCGGAAAGAGAAAGACTCTAAAATTATAACGAAAACATCAACATCTTCAATTGAAGGTGACAAAGCAAAAGTGTTGCCTCCAAAAAACCAAGGTGAAACGTCTTCTCCTAAAAAGCAGCAACAGACGGATATAAAATGTCTTTCAACCAGTAGCAATAATCCAAAAGATGTTACGAAAAAGAATCCCAATCTTCAAGATGTCGCCGCCGTCTCTAAGTCAAAAGAAAAAGAGCGAACGTCTTCTAAAGAGAGAAAAACTGTGAAAGATATTAAAAAAGAAAAAAAGTCATCATCATCATCAGATAAACTACTCAGTTCAAAGTCAGAATCAAAAAAGTCAAAGAAAGTCAATATAAAGGTTGAAAAAAATGACGGAAATCCATCTGTCGGTCAGTCTTCAGATAAAAGCGAAAATGTAAAACCAAAAATCATCGGGGATAATATTGAAGAAATGAAACAGGAGCCGAAAACAGCAAAAGATAAAACTGTAACTGTTTCCAGAACTGACTGCGAAAAACAAACAACTAAGCCAATTCCTCATGATTCTAAGAAACAACAAGACAAAATCCAAAATGAAAATCCGTCATCAGAACCCAGAATAACCAGCATAAAAGAACCTGTAGAAAATATATCAAGCAAGAAGAAGAAGAAAAAGAAAAAGCAATCTGACAAAGACGTCACTGCAAATGAGAAAGGCAAACTAACTAGAAAAATTTCTGAAGATCGTTCGAAATCTAAGCCTGAGAGTTCAAATTATGAAAAATCTGATAAAAGGGATCCTAACATTGCTGAAAAAGTGAAAATGTTGTCAAAATCGATTTCAAATAAATCAAAATTGTCTTCAGAATCTAAAAGCTTGTCTGTTGAAGTTTTATCAGAAAAAAGTGGATTGCACGGCGATCGTATCAAATCTAAGTCACATAAAAAAGAAAGCACGAGTGACAAAGTTTCCAGTTCTGATATATCAAAGAAAAAATCCATCAAACCACATGATGATCTCAAAGTGTCGCATTCATTACCGGATAAATCTTTAAAAGATGTGTCTGGAACTAAGAAAAGTTCAAGTAAACAAGTGTCTAATTTGAAAACTACTGGAAAAGCGTCATCTGCCAGTCCAGCATCCATCTCGCAGTCTCGTTATTCCATGATTTATGACTCTTCATCTAGTGATTCTGAAATGAGTCCAGCAAATCCGCCTTCGAAAAAGAAAAAAGTTAGAAACGAATCGGAAGTAGAAGAATCAAAAAATTTACAAAAAAGTGAAGCTGTCAGGGATGATAAAAACAAAAGTAATGAGAAGTCTGGTCCAAAACGAATGAACTGGAGCACGTCTTCCATGTCGTCATGTTCGTCGATCGACGCTGGTGCTCCGCCACCTATCCTTCCATGCTCCTCACTGGTAACAGAGACAATCAAAAATGAAACTATCCTTCCTCCAGGTTATGATGATGATGATGCTGACGATCGTTATTCTGACAAAGATGACAAAATGGCCGACATCCTTTTGAATCGAATCGAACACGAATCGAATGTAAAGACTGAAGAGAAAAGTGATAGTGCAAGAGAAATGTCACCTATTTTAGGAGGAAAAATAAAGAAGAAGACAACACAGCTAAAAAAAGATTCAAATACGAAAACACCAGACAATGCGATCAGGCGTCTGATTGTAACTTCTTCTGATAGTGATTCGTCGGATCAAGAACTGGTCATATCTATGAGTAGCACTGATGATTCTGATGACGAAATTGGTTCAATGTCCGCATGGGCTAAAGTCGATGCTGATGCCGCTAAAGCGGAGACTGAAGAAAAGAAAACTCCACAAACTGGTAAATCTGAATACGGATTAGATCTCTCATCAGACAGTGACTCGACAGGCGAGGAATTCCCCGTGGTGGCAAAAACGTCTGAAAAGAAGAAAATTGAAAGCAATAAAGTTTCTAAAAAACTGTCCAAGAAGCCAGAAATATTGAAAAAGAAAACATCGAAATCAGGGATGTCCAAATCCAAGACGAAGAAAGATTTATTCTCTGATAATTCAGATACTGATTCTGAAGCTGAAAAAAGGGATTCAAATAAGAAAACGTTGACTAAGCCACCGAAAGATTCAAAGAAGGGAAAGGATGTCGGCCTAACACCCAGCGGTTCAAAATTGTCTGAATCAGCAAAAAACGCCAAAGCAAAACCACTTGTGACAAAGACTGAAAAAGTAAAATATAAATCTGATATAGAGTTCTCATCTTCTAGCGATTCTGATGATTTTGACGCTGTTTTTACTTCAAAACAATCAGAGAAAAAGAAAGACGTTGTGGAAATTCCTCCTAAATTAAAAGACTCATCAGGTAGTAAATCCTCAAAAGCGATTATTGACAAGACAAAATCAGATTCCAAATTGGCAAAACGAAGTTTCAAATCTGATGATAAAAAAGAGAAACTAAAAGTGAAATCTGCTAGTGTGGAAAAGTTACCTTCTACAGATAAATTGAAAGACAATTCATCAAAATCACACGGTGACAAAACTTTGCAAAAAATACAACACCATGGAACATCAAGATCACCAGCTAAAGAAAAAACAAAAACAGTAAAGGAATCTACATCAGTTGTTGACAGCTCAAAACATGAAACTAAGGTGTCTTCCTCAAGCAAAAAAGAGCATTCTCATAAGTCCAAGCATAGTGGTGGTAAAAATGTTCCAACAACAAAATCACACACATCTGATGGTAGTTCAAAGACTCCACACAAAAGTACCGGTGAAGGTGTTTTGCAAAAACATTCGAAAAAATCTTCTAAAACTGATGACAAGAAAATTTTGGATACAAAACCATTAGAATCTGAAGTTTTTGTCAAAGATCCCAAACTTCATCAAAAACCGAAAATTGAGTCAAAGAATAATGATGCGAGTGAAAATCCTGATGTACATAAACATCACAAAAAGAAGAAGATGAAGAAAGCACACAAACTAGAAGAAAAAAGCAATGCGGAATCGCAGCATAAAGAAAAAAAGACAACTGAGCTGTCTGGGAAAGAAAGTGCCGACAAAGAGCAAAGAATTGAGAAAGACAAACTTACAATTCCATCCGCCTCTCAAAGCCAAATGATTACATCAAAGTTGAGTGAGATGGAGCAGAAGGCTTTAGCACGAAGTTTGTTTAATTCTGACAGCGATGATGATGACGATGAAAATATCATTGATGATAATACTGAAAATTTCCCGCTTTCCACTTCTAAACAACATGGTAAAGATACAATATCAACTGATCGTAAATCACCAAAGAAAAAGGTTAAAGAAGAAATTGCACTTGGAGATACTAGTCATACAAAAGAAAAAGGCCACAAACATGAATCTAATTATCAGAAATCGAAAACTTCTCTTACTAAAATGCCGAGTCTGCACCCATTACATTCACACCGGTTGTCGAGTCCAAAATCGTCAGAAAAGCGACGTGGAAGTGCAGAAAGCTTTTTGACTACAAGCACAACTGATGAAAGTGATTTGGAACAGCGAATGGCAGTTCAGTCCGCTATATCATCGTTAGATCATGATGATGACATGGCTATTTCTCCTGATCTAGTGGACATTAAACAAGAATCAGGTAATCACGAAGAAGAGGATGATAACCTGCCGCCACCTTTCGTCAGTAAAACCATGTTTGAAAAAGATCAAAAATCGGAGATGGGTTTTGATGTAATGTCAAGCACTGAAAAGAATCTTCCATCCAGTCCTTCTAAGTCATCTCATGTAAAATCCGAGAGTGCCAAACCAATTCATTCTACAGAAAAAAAGAAAAAGTCCAAAAAGGACAAGTCTCACAGAGAAAGACGAGGTCATAAATCATTAAAGCCTCATGTCCCTGGATTTTCTTTGTCGAAGCATGGTTTACCATTTAGTGGAAAAGACAGACGTGAACACATTGATAAATTGAAGTCATCATCTCACGAGAGAGATGAAGAAGCAGTGCGTTCCATCATGGGTATATTAGATGAAAGTTCAGATGCAGATTCTTACTTTTCTGACGTACGTCCAGAAGATTCTTCATCACATGCATCAATGTTGGGAAATCAAACTCCCGACTCAGACAGAGGACGGAGACGTAGTCTGGATTCAGACGCCAGTACAGGACGAAGCAAAAGTTCCACAGCACCAGTTGTCGCATCTGATGCATCATTCGAAACTCTACATGAGGTGGAACCCAAACCAGAAGTTGTTCAAACGACAGAGAATGTAAAAGTCGAAGATTCTACTGATGTAATTGATACTCGAACGACAGCAGAAGAAAATGAATTAGCAGCTGCTGTTAGTTCCATTGAAGCACTTTTTGGTGATTTCGATAACAAACCATCAACATTTGAAGACTTCTCTAGTGCTGGGAGTAGTGCAGGGTACAATGAGCAGCAAGTTGCACAAGATCAAGTACTCGAGCCAGAAAGTAAGTCTAATTCTAAAGAAGAGAAGGATTTGTCACAAGAAGACTTGGATAGGGGTTCTGACGAGGCCGCTATGGCCGCTTCCACGTTGCTAATGGAAACAAATGAAGAGGATAACACTCCTTATTTTGGATATAGGGATTTTCAAAATCAAAAGCCATTGTTCGAGAATTCAAGCAATAGAAAAACTAGCACTGAATCCAGGTATTCTGACGATGCATTTGTAAGAAGGAGTAGTAAAGAAATGGATATCGAATTACCATCAATTCGTACTGATATCGGTGTCATTCCAGCTACTGTAAGTGATCAAATCGCGGATCAACTGCCGTCTAGTGGTCAATCGAAACCATCAAGAAAGAGACAACGGCAAACTAAAAGTGCAACATCATCTGTTCGATCATCGAGTCTGGAAAGTAAATCTGATTTAACTATGTCAGATGCAAGTGCGAGCGAGTCAGAGCTTCTATTGCATGAGGTGATTTTTCATTTGTTTTTTTATTATTTCAATAAATCTTAATAACTGAGGTGGTGGTCAGACAATATGGATGTGATAGCATTTGGGTTCTGTAACTTATTTTGTCAAAATTATCATTTTCTAGCTTTATCATGACAAAAATGCCCTTTTCATGAATGATTGTGCCATGTTTTACAACGGTATTCATACATCATATATCACGAGATCCCGAAAATATGTATCAAAACTGAATATAATCGGGCAGTTTTCCACACATCCACAGATTGTGTGGCATTTTAGAGTAGCAATGCCTTTATCTTGTCGCAAGTATAGCAATCGCGCGTTATGTTGAGCGCAATTAAATTAATATAGAAAAACATTTCAAGAGCTCGTATTGGTCACTGAATGAATATTTTACATGATAGAAAAATCATTATCTTCTGGAAAAATATCAGCTTAAAGAGTGGCGACTGTTTCAGAAGCCACTCAAACATAGGAAATTCTGACTTTCAACCCTCTCTCTTGAAAATTATGGGCGCTCCACTGCATATATGATTATATTTTTGACTAATTTTTCTAGTGTTTTTCATTGCACCCACTCAATTTTTCAATATCAATCAAATTGATCACAAAATATCTGTACATTAAATTTTTTGTTTTCTTGTACAACAGACTGGAAACTCAGACATTGTTCGGCATGGAAAGGGAGCAAAGCAAAGAAAAATTGGTGGCAGTCCATCACATATCCAGTCTGGAAACTCCAACAAGAGTGATTCATATGATTTTGACGCAAGTTTAAAAACTCAGAGTTTGAGTTTGCCAAAACCGGAAACATCAGTTGAAACTTTACCGGTAAGATTTCTATATTTATTTACTCTTCTATTTATTTGCCATTGAAAATTACTGTTCAAAAAATTCTGTTTTCATTTCAGTTCGTTCCTTCAAGCAACACAACTACATTTTCCAACCTGGTGCCATCAACAACAACCTCAAGCATTCCTGTGTCATCTATCCCTCCTGCACCATGTAAGTGTACTTGGAGATGTTACAATTTTTACAAGTCGCTGACTCGTGCCTCTGCTCGGAACAAGGCCCTTTACAAGCAGCGACTGTTTTGGGTGGATTATTCGGAAGAACCGAAATATTTTCGGTTTGGTATTGCTCACCCAATTTATTACACCCTGGGTGAGGTGGGGAGCATGAACCCGAGATATGTTATTCGTGATACCAGCGCATTCATTGTTTATTCAACTGTTCATACATGGGATGAGATTTGAGTAATCATCTCTAAGTAATTATATCTCATTCAATGTAAAACTGTGCTTATATGTTTGTATATTTAGAATTGAAACTTTTACTATCGTTTCATTTCTGTTTTCTAAAACATTCTATAAATTGTTTTTACAGTTGTTACTGTCTCGAGCACTCCACCCACTGCTGGAACAAGATCTTCAAGCACCGAGAAAAGTCCTCTGGACATCAAACCACCTTCGGTGATACCCACACATCAACCGAGACGAACCAGTTATGATATTGAATCATCAAATATAGCAGTGGGTCAAGCCAAAAGAAGAGCTTCTACGTCATCATCGACTGCTCCCTCACCCACTCATGGTGGGTCACAGTTTACCCAACTAACATCCTCTGCTTCGTCTTTCGGTGGAATGCACATGCCTGGGTCTTCAGTCTATCTTTACAATAACTCAGCTTTTCTTCCTCAAAATCCTACAGTAATTGGTGATCCAACTATAACCCAACCATCACCCACCATTACACAGTCAAATATGAACCCCGCTACACTTTCCCCTCATCAGACATCGCCACGATTTTTTCACCCAACTGGGCAAGTTTTTCCGCAAGCACATCTTACCAGTCCCCGTGCCGGTCATCCGTCAACTACAATGCATTCGATGATCCCTAGTTCTGTCCAGCTTTCGCAGCCACAAGTTTATTATCCACACATTTCTCAGGGACATTCAGCTTATATGACCACCACTATGAGGCCCATGGTGTCATATGCTAATTTGAGGCATACATCACCAACCTCTGCTCAGGGAATTCAGGCTCCTTTACAATTTGTTCCTCGCCACACTCACCCACCTCCTCAACCCAATGCTTCATCACATACTAATTTAACCAGCATGCCGAGTCATTTTCCCAACACGAGTATTGTCGGATCTATCGGACAACAACCTGTATCCACCAATAACACTCACTCGAGCACGTCATACTCTCCAGCTTTATCTTTATATTCTGCTACAGCTGCTGCGTCTTTAACAACGCCCTCTTCTCGTCAACATCAAGGTACAGTTGCTTGCTCGGAGAAATATATTTTACTTTCATTCATTTGCATGCTCATCATTTATCACATTGCGATAATCAAATATCACTATTATCTGGACTTTTTTTTTATTGTTTTGCCTAAATTCTTTTTGTCAAGTCAGAAGTACACATTTAGAATGCGAATGAAACCCTTGGAGCGAATGGAACAATTCAAAATTATTCATTAAATATTGAATATGATTGATTTTGATTCTATTTGAATATTTGATTTTTTGGGCTGCTATGCCAAGAAGATAGAATAAAAAATTATGTTTGTTTTTTGCCCATTTTGATACTTATCTGACGCAAATATAATTAGAACTGGTATTAATAACGAAATATTATCGACATAGCACCACAAGCGGTACAACAGAGGATTCCAGAGACCAGTCAGACGGCTCAGCACCACGTCGGAGTCCCCACATATCCTCATGCACATCATGTTCGACCACATCAGCCCCCAGTTTCCACTCAGGCATCGATTCCGCAGAATATCGTCACGGCGACTCGTACAGATACAACACCAAAATCACTTCCCAGACCCCAGCTTATACCTCAGGGTATGTTTCCTCATGGATATCCATTGCCTACACAGGTAAATTTGTTTTATCTTTTTTTACAAATACAATATTGAAATTGCCTATCCTGTGCAAAATGCCAATCATTTTGAAATAAGTAGAATAAATGTACTTTCTTATAGAACAACAAAAATTGGGTACTGTCGTAGACTCCTAGTGTGTGTACCAGGTTAGGGTTGGGCAATAATTTTAGATTTTCCTCATCTTAGTTCTATCACAAGTTCGGAGACTGTCTGTGTTAGCCAAGTCAAGCCTCTGCCCATAGGTTTCAGTCCCTTCACACAACTTGATGTAAAGTAGGCGAACAAAATTAGTTACCTCCATATTGGTATAGACATTTCTGGAGCACCAAAAATTGTATCTTGTGCCATATTTTTTTCCGTATGATAGTACTGCCTTATTGTTTTTAACTTATGTCTTACAAAAAAAAAAAATCTATATCAAAATGTTGTGAAAATAAGTTTAATACTGATTTTTTTTCCTTTGGGACTTGCTGAAGTATTATCAATCTAAAAGGCGGAGCATATTGTGAATAACAAACTTAATCTATTCCAGATATCGCCAAAAGGTTTTCCACAACAACCTTTTCCAATTCTTTCACCAACTCGACATTCTGCCGCACAGATTTCCCCTTCATCTGCAATTCCACGTAAGTTTTGTTCTTTTCATATTTTCAGACATCTCCAGTAGTCTTGATCATTAAAAAATTTTGACTGCATCTGGGGGGAAATGTCAAGTGGAGATCTTCAAAGATTTATCAAAATTTAGAGTCATTTTTATAAATTCAGAGTATCACACAACCTGGCCCGCAAAGCCATTTATTGTGGCCCTTTGCAACACTCAGAGTTTTCTCCATCAATCATAAAATTGTAATATGTAAAAAGTAAAATTGTAAATTGTAACAGTTTATGCTTAAAAAGGCGTGTGTGGATAAAAATACATAAAAATCTTTTGATGTTGTCGCTGCATTAAATTTTTCGTCATTTTGCCCAGTGCATATTACTGTAAGGCTATGCGATAGCCGCATGCTCTTTCTAGCTATTCTCGGTAATTATTTTGTGTGGGCCAGTCAGATTACACCCATGGGTTAGAAGCATTGGATCTGATTATGTTAGTGTCGCAGGTTAAAAAAATGCGGGTTTAAACGTAAACCTCATATTCACCAACTCCCATATCTGCAATAAATGGGTAGTCAATGTCGAACCAGAAAAATCCCATTTTCTGGAAAATAGTAGTTATGTTTTCGTAGATGCATATACGTGTATATATATATGTATATTGAAGATTGAAGATGCCCCCGAAAAATGATTACTACCTCAGCTGATGTTTCATTACTTTCATTTCCAGCTACAACTCCGCAAACACAAGATAAAAGTAGAGCAGGAATACAAAGGCAACCATCAGATCCATATCTGATCAAACCAAATGTTCCACCACAATCTACTCAAACAGTATCTTTAGCTTCTCCTCATATCAAAATTACAGAAACTACAGGACAAGTGGTAAGCCCTTTGTATTGTTAGTTTTGTTTGTAAATTGAATATTGGCCTATGACAGGGTCCCCAAACTGGGGTCCGGAGACGCCTGGGAGTCCGTGATTACTGCGCAGGGGTCCGCAATGATATGAAGAAAGTCTTAAACCTTCACAAATATATTATAAATCTTATCGAATTGCCGTGAGCCTGCCAGTATTGAACGTTATTATATATTAGTTCAGACTTTCGTGAGTTTCATTTCGCCAAAGGAAACGTTATCCTTCAGCGTTATTCAGGCACAGAAATTGATACGACATAGGATGGGGATCCGTCAAAAATGAGATTCACGATAAGGGGTCCGCAACCCAAAAAGTTTGGAAAAATCTTGCCTATGACATATTGTAATTTAATGACATTACTTGCACATCTGTCCTTTGAATCTCAATTTTGACCCTTGCTTATGCTTTCTGATGCCTTCCGAAGCCTCGGGTGATTTGTTTGGTCTCATCATGTCTTACAACCCTCTTGTTAATGAAGGTATCCCAGCCTTTTTTTATTTTGTATTGTAGCAGGTTACTGAAAAGACAGAAGCACCTCGACCACAGCCACCGAGCCCAGCTGTTCCGAATACATCACAACCGGTAATGCCACAAATGCCGCCACAGATGTTTGCTCATCACCCACACATGTACTATCCACAAGGTAATTTATTGCTTATATTTCGCTTTGAAAAAAAAAATGGTTTGAAACTCAATTGAAAATTATATATGGCACTGATCCACGCCCTTCACCTCAAACCTGACCTTATACAATCAACCACTGATATCTATTTCGAAGGGTTCGGAATCTTTTTGGTTCGGCATTGTCTACCCAATATATTTAACCCTGGGTGAGGTGCATGGGTTATGAGCGAGAGATATATAGACTATGGTACCAACACAATTATGTCTAACTATTTAACAGGTGATCACACCGCCACTGTGTATTGGATTTTTTCAGTCTAGGAGTTCAGTTTGATATGTGTTTTGATACATTTGATGTTGAAATAAAGTGATCTGAGCATAACCACATCTGATTCTAGCATAATATTGTAAATATTGCTGATAAATATTTGTGAATTTTCTTTGTTGTAAACATTCCTTGCATTGCCATGGATGATACTAATCATACATTTGTTTATTTTGAATATTCTGTTACATCTCATTCATTTTTTTTCATTTTTCCTACTTCAGGTTTACATACATTGCCAGGAGGATTTCCTGGATTGCCATACATGGCCCAACCATTTATACTCAGACCCGGTATACCACCACCTACTTCTGTCATGCACCCTGCTGCTGCCCAGTTGCCAGATATTCGTCATTCCCAACAAAAAATGATGTCACAACAACAAAGATTGCAATTAGATATACCACAAATGCAGGTTACAACTGCGCAACAGCAGCCATTGTCCCATTCTCAAACACCATTGAGAAAAGAACAAAAAATACCTCAAACGGAGGCAACAAAGTCATCACCAACTATGCGTGATCCACCGCATTCACTGCGACCCCCATTTGCAATTCATCAAGCAGGACCACCCCCACAATTGCATCCATCTACACAAGCAACTTCTCATCCTTCATATGGTCCACCATTCACTGCTTCTCCTGTGCATAGGTCAGAACGAGGAGAAAGGATTGTTCGAATGCCGAGCGAAATATCTCAAATTGACATGGTTGATCAACATTTCAGACAATCTGGCATTCCTACAACACCACCTCGTGCCAGTGTTCCCTCAACAAATTATCAGCCACAAACAGATAAACCAAGACAATTGGTTCCACCAAAACAAGAACATGCCAATGTTCCTCAATCTCTTCCACATCATGTTTTGTATCCACAGTCAGTTTTTCAAAGACCAGGACTTGGAATGCCTCATCCTCATGGCTTTCGTTTACCCGCAGGAATCAGATATCCAACTTCTCAGGCTGATACTATGTGGCTAAGGCCGGGAGCTAATTTCAGGCCACCAACTGTTCCACCTAATCTTGCACAGCAGCAGCATTCTTTATACGTTAGTGCAGCAGAAGCAAATCGCCCGACACCGCATCTCACGCCAGCACGTTCTCCTCATCCGAGGTTACCGAGTAGTCAAGCACCACAGAGCACTCCTCCACCTTCTACAACACCAAAACCAGCGTCTTCTGCTCCTCCAAACGACCAAGTTATGGATTTATTCCAGGTTTGTAGGCCTATTTTGCTTATTCAACATGTCTTTGTAGCTGTCATTTTCAAACAATTTGTCATAAATAACGCTTCATCAAATATTGCCAAATTACTTTAGTGAAATGGTCATTCAATGAAAGTTTTCCTGGCTCGTGATCTCAAATATTCTGCCCATACTTCACCATTGTAAAATTTTTGGGAGTATTTTTGTGATTCGATACAAGCAAACTGAATACATTTTCAAAGTTACCATTTTGTTTGAAAAAAATATTCAAGCACTCAAAACTATGAAAACATTCATATAGCTGAAAATCAGTCTGAGTGAAAAACTGAAATAAACTAACAAGGCATCTATTGCTCTTATTAATTAAACCATTCTTATACAAATCACATACATGTAGGGATGAAAATTTCAAGGAAAACACTTCAACCGTTAACCTGATAAAATTAACTGGTTAACTGCAGCGTGACATTTGGCGTAATGAGTTATAATTTTATCTTGTTACGTCACAATGGTTACAAAGCAATATCACATGAAATTATCTCAGGATCGATAACCGGTTAACCATTCCCAGCCCTACATACATGCTGTGAACAATTGATCATTACTCATGATGCAACTGATTTGAAAATAATATTAATTCAAAACTTTGTTTCAGCGTTATCCTGTGATATGCAAGGTCTTTTGGCATTACGAAATGATTCAGCGGCTGTGCAAACTCATTTTATATGTGGTGATCTCGGACTAGCACAGGCTTGTTTGCCGAAACCAGATGCCAGTCAGACCGAGACAGACAGAGAAAGGAATTTAGCTGTACTCAGAATCGTTCAAAGAATGAGGCTAGAGCCTCCTCAACTCGAGGGAGTGGATAAAAGAATGACGGTATGGGATCTTTTATTGTTATCATACTCATTTCAAGAAGCTTGACTTATATTTATTGCTTTTCATGTTGTTGGTTTGAATATTTCAGCAACTGTTATCATTTTTATTTTGAGAAACTTGACTTGTTCATTACTTTTCATGATATTGGTTTCATTTAACGGTATTAATTTTTTTATTTTTGTTCCCTAGTGTATGGTTGAGAATCAGTTTTTGTAATATTACTCAATATTTTCTTGTTCACAGGCGAACTCAGATTTCTGTTTATTATTGGCGTTGCCTTGTGGTCGAGACAAAACTGATGTAATAAGACAACAAAATGCTTTGAAACAAGGATTTATCGATTATTTGAAACAGAAACAAGCAGCTGGTATAGTAAATGTAAAACATGCGCAACCTCAAAATCAAGTTCAGGTATAGATTACATTGACAGTTTTCCTATTTTGAATTTTGTTCATAGCTATTTCTCAATAAGCAATCTATAGCTATGATGAATTATTATTAAGAATTGGGATGCTTTATCCTAATCAGAACACTATGGCATTGTAAGTATTTGAATCGATCCTCTTGAAGATTAACCGTTGCAAATTCAAAAATTTAATGCTTATATGGACACAAAGCTCAAATGACTAATATGGCCACCTCAATGTCAATAAATGTTAATAAATTGTACCAAATGTTATATGACATGTTAAAGAAAGTATGTAGGAACTTGTGCTTTTGAGTTATAAAAAATGTCAAAATTTGGAGTAAATTAATAGAATCTAGAGATCACTTACATCTTCCAAGTTCCAAGTATCAAAGATTTGTAATTGTTTGGTCAAATCTGCTAGACTAATCGTTGTCTTCTTTTTAACAGTACGTCCTACATGTTTTCCCACCATGTGACTTCACTACCAAACATCTACAAGATCATGCCAGGGATTTGTTGTCCAATATCAATGATATACAACACATAATGATTGTCATCGCTGCAGTCTAGTCCTACCGAAGTTATCCATTAAACTATAATATGGAGGATATCAGATAGAAACTGAAATTATGTTCCAAATAGGGATGTCCGTAAATTTGATAACCCAAAATTATTCATTACTATACATAATGATTAGAAGTATCTAAAGCAGTGAAATCAAATTGACACTTCTGTTTTTAGCAACATTGAAAGGATAAAATATGTACGTTTTATTAAAAAAAAACTACTCAAGGTTTGTTCAAACTCTATTTTCAGTCTGGTTATCTACGACGGACATCCCCAATTCCATTTTCATCTTGTATATATTTTCTATGATTGTGAAAAGCACATTCGTGCAATTCCGTTGGTGCTTGGTCAATTTTCTTGTGCAGCAGCCGTGCATAATTTTTTAAACATAATTATGATGACTTTATCACCTATTTATATTTGTCACTGTACCACGGTGTCGATATTTTTTGTTTCTACTTTTGTTTGATTCATTGATTGTATTGTACAGTTATTATTATATGTTAGTCGTAATTTATTTGAAAAACGAAGAATTCGATTCTTCTCGGCTTCATTTTGACCTGAAATTTACTGCCAGATTTTTCGTTGCACAGCGTCCTCATTTAGGTTATTTTTTACTTGATGAATTCTGACAATGAATAAAATGAGAAGAAGTTAAGTTTGACTTTTTATCCAACTAGTTTAGTGTGGTAAGTGTACGTACGATCGTGTAACTGATATGCTTGAATACTAACGATCGTGTTACTGAAATGCTTGAATTCTAATACATTACACACGGGATATACTCATATACCAAATATCTTAAACTTTTAATTATTTTCGTTAGACAAAATTTGAAACGGTCATTGATAGGACTTCGAGTCGGACCCCTTAGAAACATCAAATCCAGCGCCCTAAAAAAAGAAATATGAGGGGCAATTGTGCGCGCGCGCTATACAGGGGATTTTTTCAGATACATGGATTCTATATATTATGACATAATGCATAAAATATTTTATTGGCGTTTTCTTCTGTTTTCTAAGGGTTGAATTTTCTTATTAATCTCCTAATCTTTGCAAATCCCAGGATGAGCGTCTCCATGAACAAACCCGAACTTCTGCGTTTTTTTTTTAGTTTTACACCAGGCGCCCATGACCAGGTTTAAAAAATGCGCCGCTCGAACTTTGACATGCAATTGTTGTCGAACGCTGACAAACGAATGTTGTTGAATTGAGTTAGTTATAAGTTATTATTCAATAAAACTATACGAGATTCACTTATTTCCCCAAGTTAAAATTATTTTATCAAAACATTTAACGGTCGAAAATTACCTATGGCGCCTATGACTGCCATACCCTGGATATGCCATTGTATAAAGACCAATTCTAAACGTTCCACCAATCCACTGTTCACGGGGAATAGAAGTTGATGAATTGCATTAAACGTAAACAACTCTTATCAAAAGTTACTATACTATGTATCATGCAATAAATGAACAGACAATAGCATATTATACATTATTTATTGAAATTCAATCCTTGCAATAAAACAAACACACAATACACATACATACTTTACAATTGAACATGGATTTTTGATTAACACATTATGTTTGATGCGTTGGTATCGCATTTCACAAATCAGAGATATTGGGATCAAGTAGGCTACCGAGTATCGACGACATCGTTGCTCAACCCATATTCGTTTCCCGATTTCGAGTATAAAAAAATTCGCTCGTTTTGCCCAACCGGATATCTTCCGGTTCTGCCGTGTTGAGGAATTTCCACGACCAATTGGCCCTATACAAACAGTTTCGTGAGAAGAGAGATGTGACATCTGGCCGAATGAAAATTCAGCTAATATTCTGATGGACTGGATCGATAATATTTTGTTGCGGTCTGTTTTCATAAAATAGTCAAATTTTCAAGAGAATCTCAAGGCGCAAAAGCCGTTATAAAAACATTTCACAACCGATTGCTTCATATTTGTGAACATTCCATTTCCAATAACTCGTCAAACTCTTCACGAGTCTCAAGGTTGAAACACCATGTTATTGGAAACAATAGTTTTTGATGTTATAAATATAGCAATTATTGTGCGATCCTACCGTCATTCGAATATCTTTCTATATATTACGGATATTGGCTCCCCATATAGACGTCGAGTTTGATTTTTGAAATAAACATGGCAGCCTACTGAACAGAACTCTAATCTGCGACATCGGCATAGTCATGAAAATACACAAATCACTGAATAATTGCACAAACTATTTGTTTTGTTATGAACAGTTCTAATTAAATTTCTAAAATAGGTCAATCATCTCGTACATATAATCAAACTAAAAATGACACTGAATACAATATTATCCTAAATTTGCTTTTAAAAAAACTCTAAATCTGAAAAAACTGGCAATAAAATATCGACTCATTCACACTCACTCACAAGGATTGTATCAAATATATTTTGTTAGTCTTTCTCTTGACGACGCCAACCGAAACAACGAGCAATTGGATAAAAGAGGCACTTCATGAAATTGGCTGTTCTCTTTCCCTTCGATTTTCGTTTCTGTCCAAGAAGATAGATTCGTCTTTCGTTTCGCCTGGGTATCATAGGCTCGTTTTCGATGTCAACTTTTGAATCCACAAGGCTGATGAAACGAATAAACATTCATAAATGTTAAATTGTTTCTTGAAACTGATTACCTGATCCAAATGGTTCAAATTATTTCTAAGATATAAATTTAGGGGGAAAATTCTATTGCCTTGCGTGGACTTATGGGTGCGAATCCTATGTTCGTCAGTAGAAGGAAAATTCAAATGGACTTCCTGTTGTAATCCAAATAGCAGTAAAGTGCAACAAATACGCGTCTCTGAATGAAGAAAATTATTACACTATAAAGCCCGATAGCCCCATTGTCAGGTGTGCGGAATATTAGAACGCTCAAAGCTCGGACTTTCCGTGAGTTTGATCAGTCTATCTTCTATCACTGTTGAACATTCTGTAAGTATCTGTAGGCCTACTCAACGATAGATATAGCTTCGAATATCTGGGTCTGTTTTATTCTTCATTTTATACCGACAAGTAGAATGAAAAGTTTGTAAAGTCATTTACCGTTGAAAAAAAGCTTAATGGGATAATTACCAAACACCAACATTTTCTTCGATTAATAGGCTTTCAACTGCAATCTTGTGCTCACTCAATGAAGAATTGCTTGGCAACAAGACTCCTAGAGGTTGAGGAATTAGGACCGAGTTTTCCACCGGGTATTCAAAATGAGCTTCCGTAGCTTCATGTTTTTCACATTCCGAATTCATATATGCAGATTCTAAAAATAAATTCCAACATGTTTAACGTGGGGATGAATTTTACATCAATGAGTTCTGTTAATCTTAAATTCAAGATAGTAGTTTATCTGATTTGTTGTGCTTGTTTTTGTGTCATTTAAAATTATGCTACAGTCTAACGGTTGCCAACCGGGACCCAGGGCTTTCCAACGGGAGCATATAGCAGTTGGAGGGGCCACCAATTTAGGAGCAAAACTGATTTTCCTTTTCCTTTTACAAAAAAACTCTCCGTTCTTCTAAGTTTTATTGCTTGACAAGGTTATTTCACAGGGTGTTTTCACTTTTTTGTGCATGAATTGTTTAAACATAATGATATTTGGAATCTACAAATCAAAATATTACTATTAATACAAATGTAATTACAAACAGGGGGGTGGGGGCATGAGTAGCCTACTAAAAACCTCTGAAGGGGGCCACAAGCCATGAAAGGTCAAGAATCTATCTGCTACATTTCTATACAGGAAACCCTTCATAGTCGCAAAACATAATTATATTCATGCAATATTAGAAATTGATGTTATTTAACACTTAACTGTACTAACTTACCTAAATTTGGCATGCTGCATGTTCTCGTTATCGGAGATCTTGTCCGATACTCTTCCAAAGTTGTTTCGCTCGCCATTTTCTGTATGAACAACCGTGGGTATTCGTGCTTGGTACTGGCATATTCGAGCAAACCTGAGAATCAAAATCTAAAATTAGTAATCTTCAATTTTCTCTACCAGAATAATTGTTTTACATATTTATTTGACTTACTTAAGATGCAAGGCGAACTCTGTGTTCTTAACCATGCTTCTTCGATAGGCTTGTTCACCATCGCCTGCCCGAGAAAACGCTCACTACTCCACCTTTTTGTTGAAGATATCTGTTTAAATTCAGTGAATTATAAACAAAACAATATTTACAAAATATAAATGTTTCTAATAAACTTTAAATTACGTATTTTTTTTTTATATTTCTTCTAAACGACGCTTTGCGAATATATTTGCAAATGGAAAATAATATGTCTTGCACATCTTGTTTTGTGAGTAAGGTTATGACTGGGTAATTCATTTTTTCATTAATTTTTTTCACATAAATGACCGTTTGCGGTTTTGATTTTATCAAGTAGCACAATGATGTTTCGGATACATTTATCTGCCGAACTCAACCATGTAGTAATATTTAAAATTTAATTGCCTACTTACTTTCATATCTCCACAAGAATTGGTCAAATTCCATATAGACAGCATAATTGTATCTTGGTTTCACAAGACATGTAAACTGTACGAATGCGAATTTTATTCAATTTCAATTTAATTGATTTCTGATTACCAGTTATGACGTCATAATATGAAAAGTCAGGAATTGGGTTGTGGCAATTGGCAAAGTGAGTCTTCCACAACGAGATCAGTGATCAAAGACGTTGATGCATGTAACTGCCTATTCTAAATCCCATCTTTATTGGCATCTAGATTTCTTTCGAGTGGAAAGTGCAGCGGTTGCGAAATTCGCTTCTTGAATGCGGTACATTCTGGTACCTAGGCGATGCGTTTATCGGGAACCTGAAAAAAGCTGGAAGCGATGTTGAAATTCCGATGTTTACAGATGACAATTGTCAATTTGTTGGTCAATACCGATATTCCAATAATTATGCACGTTTCTTATGCACGGACTTGGTCATATTCTGACAACGTTCATCTATATGATTCACTCCTTAACGACGATTAAGCCTCTTCAATCATCATCTTGAACATGATCATTTCTGAATAATTTTGAACCGATGAAACCGCGAGGGTGATAAGCAATTGACGATAAGCAAATTGATAACGCTCAACATGGTTTTTCCAAATCGTCCAAGCATATTGAAGTCTGTCCCAGTTCCCGATATTATAAGTAAAATCCAACTTATTGACTTTGCTCTCTCTAACCGTTAACCTGGCAGTCAAAGAAGATTAAACGAGCTGTGCGAAGTACATTGGTTGCAGAAGTTTTGGCAATGGATGATGGAGTTGATGCTGCTATGTATCTTGCTGCGTTATATTCAGAGATATCCAGTGGATTCCTAAATTCTACACAACTTCCGATTGAATGCATCACAGACAGTCGATCGCTGGTACAATCTCTTCAATCCACGAAAGCCGTTACTGAGAAGAGATTACGTATTGAACTTTGTAGCTTGAAGAAAATGATTTCTTCTAAGCAGATAATGAACATTGTGAATTGTGCCACTAAAATGCAATTGGCAGATTGTCTGACCAAGATGGGTGTCACACCATTTTTAATTTTAGACAAATCAAATTCTGGGTCTCTCTCACTTTAAAAAGAAGATAGAGGGAGATTGTTAACTTGTGTGTTCTCCTTTACATTTTATCCAGGTGATTGTCATCCTGAGATAACTGTACTTTAATTCTATTCTCACTTTTTTTCACTGACCAATGACAGCACAGCATGATGGTAGAGCATTGTGGGTAAAACCACTGAAGCATGCTTCCTGGGTATAAATACTGCCATGCTGGTCTCCAGAGGTCATTCAGTACTTTGGCGTAGCAGAGGCAACATGTGTCTTATGCCTAACTTTATATTCTGTTATTTGTGGTGACAACTGATCTGTTTATGTTAAGTATTGCTTGTGTTTAATAAAACATTAATTTACATCAAAAAAACAAATGACTTACAACAACATAATAACTCTGAGTTTCGTGACACGGCCGAAAATTTTGGGATAGATATCATAACGACAGCGGCAGAAAGTCCGTGGAGTAATGGCATTCTGGAGAGGCTTACTGAAATAATGTTAGAAGGAAGAAAAGAACAACCACTCGATTGGAAGCCCGCTTCAAAGTGGTCAATCTTAGCAAAAAATTCCTTGCAAAACTGCCATGGTTTTAGTCCTTATCAGTTGGTGTTTGGTCGTAACCCAAATTTGCCATCAGTCCTAACCGATAAACTTCCAGCGTTAGAAGGGACAACAATGAGTCAAGTGGTTGGAAAGCATTTAAATGCCTTACATATGTCACGAAAAGCATTTATTGAGGCTGAAAGTAGTGAAAGAGTCAGACGGGCTCTGAGGAAACAAACTAGGTCTCATATGAATTTTGAATATGTAACTGGGGACAAAGTGTAATATAAAAGAGAAGAATCCAATGAATGGAAAGGGCCTGGTATAGTAAATGGTTCCGATGGTGGTTGTGTTGTTAGAGTACATAAGTGTCGGCTTCAGATATATGATGCAAATAAGCAATCAAATCATTCTCCGCCTGGAAATCTTGATAAAAACAATCATGAAATTACTGTTAAAAGTGAGCCTGAAAATTCTGACGCAAAATCTTTTTCTCGAATTCAAGGGTAGGAAAGCGATGAGGAACAGGAAGAAATAATTGACTCTTCTAATTCACCTGACAGAGATAGAAATTTTGAAAGAACTGGAACAGTTAAGAAGATTATACTCAAATCTGGTCAAACAATACAATTTTGTCCACAAGATGATGAAATTTTGCATGGGGCTAAAGTTCTTGGTAGAGATGGAAAAGCCACTGGTAAATACAGTGATTGGTTTAATGTGGAATACAAGAAGCCAGCAAATTTGGCTAGTGATCAAGCTAGTATAGACATTTCCGAAGTAACAAATCTTCAAGTCATAGAACCTGATCATGATCAAGAAAATGTTTTGCATGTTGAAGATGTTTCATTTCTTAAAGGTCATTTCTTAAATGTAATAACGTATATACAGTTGTAAATAACGTTGGCCAAAAGACAATTTCAACAAGATGGGTTTGTACACTTAAACAGACTCCAGATGGCCTACAGCCAAAGGCACGACTTGTCATAAGATGTTTTGAAGAAGATTGTTTAAGTGATCTGAAGAAAGATTCTCCAAGGTGCTCAAAAGACAGTTTGCGGGTAATTTTAGCATTGATTGCTCAAAAGAGATTGAAGTCTAATACAATTGATGTAAAGACTGCATTTTTTTTACAGGGCAATGATCTCGACAGAGAGGTATGAACAAAGCGAAGCATTCAAGTATTTGGGATTGAATCTAGCTGTTACTAATGGAGTGATTTATCTGAATCAATCTCATTATATTGATGGTATGAAATACATTCAACTTAGTCAAGAAAGGAAAGTTGACAAGTAATGCGGTTCTATCGAGTCATGAACAAAAACTTTTGAGATCTGCCTTGGGTCAAATATTGTGGGCGGCTGGCCAAACCAGGCCAGATGTGGCATTTGGCGCATCCCCTATTGCATCCAGGTTAAAGACAATCATTGTTAGCGATATTCGGGAAGCAAACAAGCTGATTCGACAGTTGAAATCACACAAAGTTGATATCAAGTTCCTAAATCTCGATTCTAAAAAGTTAAAATTAGTCGTATACAGTGATGCATCGCTTGGGAATTTGAAAGATGGAGGAACACAAGGTGGATACATTGTATTTCTGGCCAACAATCTAAATCAGTCAATACCGTTAACCTGGCAGTCAAAGAAGATTAAACGAGCTGTGCGAAGTACATTGGCTGCAGAAGCTTTGGCAATGGCTGATGGAGTTGATGCTGCTATGTATCTTGCTGCGTTATATTCAGAATTATCCAGTGGATTTCTAAATATAACGCAGCAAGATACATAGCAGCATCAACTCCATCAGCCATTGCCAAAGCTTCTGCAGCCAATGTATTTTGCACAGCTCGTTTAATCGTCTTTGACTGCCAGGTTAACGGTATTGACAACACAATGTATCCACCTTGTGTTCCTCCATCTTTCAAGATAAGAATTCTATCTTCAATTTCATTACGAATCTGACTTGGTAATATTTTTATACAGTAGTGCTTACTATCGGTTGTTCTTATTCCAACACTTCGACCAAACATCGTAATTTTATCATTTTTAAAATTTATGATTGTTTTTGCTCTCTTTAAATATTTTTTACTCAAAAGTAGGGGAAGCGATTTGGGAATGACTTCGCAATTTATGTAGCATGCTATCCCCGATATCTGTATTGGTAAGCGTATAGCATAAATAGATCGCACTTTATTGCCATCGCCAAACTTGAAAGTAACGGAGCTCATCTTTCGTTTAATTTTGTCATGCAAATCGGGAGATAACAATTCGACGTAGTCCGCTAGCCAATCTTCTCCACGAACTGTTGATGTGCAACCCGAATCAATTACTGCACATCCTCTTGTTTCATCTACCAGATTATTTCGACCATTTGATATAGTGTGATATTGATAAGCTCATCTTCATTAACAGCTTCCACTTCTGAATTGAGTAAATCTTCCTTGTGAGGGCACCTTGTAGTATGATGTTGATTGGATTTACAAATTGCACAACTGAATTTCAATTGCTTCCGCTGCTCTTTCTGAGGACAATCTTTGACCCAATGATAAATCGACCGACATACAGCACAACGGCTGACAGAGCCATCTTTCCGCAATGGATTAATTTTTCGAGGACCCTTTCTTTTATGAAAATCTTTTCCAGAGATATAGAGTGGTTCATCTTTAACTTCAACAGAAGTTGACTTAAACATCAGAATTTCCCCAAAAATTCTTTTCAGAGAGGATTTCATGCTTTCGTACTCCAGTTTACTGGTTGCTGTCAAAACAAGTCGTTTATCATGTTGACTCAGTTCAGCACCTTCAAGAAGTTTATATGCCAATACAATATCTGGCAAGGTCATTTCAAACTTCTTAGACTTTGTACACAGCCTCTCGAATCTCAAAATGTAATCTCTGACATTTTCACTTTGTTCTCTTTTGAAAGTTTCGAATGCATGGTACGCATCATATGCCTGATCGACTTTATCTCTTTCAAAAACTGCATCCAATTTCTCTAACAGAGTTGACATACCGTCATCTTTGTTCAACTCCTCTGCAGCAATCTCCATGACTGTTTCTTTGGCTTTCCCAGTCAGATATAAAGCAACAGCAATAGCCTGTTTAGGCTTTGGAAGACTGGTAACCAATGTTCACATTGACCCTTCATTTTTCCACTGACTGTAAGGTTAGCTTTCTTCAAAAACTGGAGGATTCTTGTATCCATACTCCATATTTAGTTTTCCTCTGCTACCATTTGTTTTTTGGTGTAAATTAATGTTTTATTGAACACAAGCAATACTTAACATAAACAGATCAGTTGTCACCACAAATAACAGAATATAAAGTTAGACATAAGACACATGTTGCCTCTGCTACGCCAAAGTACTGAATGACCTCTGGAGACCAGCATGGCAGTATTTATACCCAGGAAGCATGCTTCAGTGGTTTTACCCACAATGCTCTACCATCATGCTGTGCTGTCATTGGTCAGTTAAAGAGTGAGAATAGAATTATAAAGTACAGTTATCTCAGGATGACAATCACCTGCATAAAATGTAAATGAGGACACACAAGTTAAC